AAAGACCTCGATGTCCCTTACCTAAAGGACTACATTAAGCAACAGGCGCAGCGGCGCTATAGCCTAGCGGAATCGCACAGCAACCCTCTGTTGCGTGAGTCAGTGGACTACACAGTCGAGCAAGTTCGCAAGCACAAAAGGCCGCGGCTCGCACTGTAATCAAAATTAACTCGTGAACTTAGAACAACCAAAATTGGAGCATTTTTACACAATCTTTAGAAAAAATCAAATATTTTTAGACCATATCAAAATCTGTGAAGCGATTTTAACAATGCCTAAACGCTGCCTATCTTAAAAGATTCTCTTCTTCCCTTTGCTCTCGTTCTCCCTTCTCTCCTTTCCTTCCCCTTTTTTCCTCAAAATTGTCTGGTTTCTGGGTTACCAGACCCGACAGACTTACAAACTGACACTGTGACTCAAGAGCTAAGGTCCCACGGACCGCTCTGACAACCAACGATGACTTGACATCCTGACCTTAATTAAAAAATCAGGAATGTTCGACAGATTAGTGGATAAACATGTGGAGTAGAGCGTTGCTTGCTTTCCCGCGTCACTACTAACAGTGGGTTGATCTTTTAAAATTATTCTCTGGAACGCCTTTTTTAGCATTCGCCGGTAATATCAAAAAGAAAGGTACATTGTGTGATCTATCAGTTTAAGTTATCCCCGTTGGCTACTTTGAAGACGTGTAAGCGCAAGGAAGCATAAAACGTTAAATTAGTATACGAGGCGCTTCAGAAAGTCAAAAAATGAAGTACCCCAATTACGGCAAACGCACATCGGAGGAAGGCATTGCAGATTTTCTTTTTTTCGGCACACGCCGATAAAAGAAATCTTGCTTAGAGCTTTCCACGGCAGTAGACCAGGCGTTGGATGCAATTGAGTGTGCAAATGTGAGGACCGCACTTTATGAACAGATATCAACTGAGAAGAGGTCAAGGAATAATAATCCAGATCTTGCTGGGCCACATTTTGGTCGTTATTTACCCCCCCCCCCTCTTAAATCCCTATGAAAAAGTGTTTTCTCTCCGACAATCTTTTTCTGAATTCAGCAACTTTTCTCTGAAGTGAGTTGTTTCCCTAAAAATACTAATCTCAATGATCAAAAGCTTCGTTAAAAATGATTACTTTTGACGTTGCCAGGTATCTAAATTGAAGCTAAAACCTTCCCTTACGAGACCCCGAAGTGTATTTCCAGATAAGAATTAAAAAGCTGCATTTGCTCTTTATATCCAAATGAACAGTAATTGACTGTTTCCAACCGCATTCTATGAGCATTTTTACAGATAAATATTTGTACATACATAAGCTCCTAACAAATGTAAACGTAGTGCGCTAATTTTGGCCTAACAAACTAGCTTAGAAATCGCCTTAAAATAAATTAATCGTAAAATACTATTCGGGGTCTTGTACAGGAAGGTTTTATCCATAATTAAGAAAGTTGGCCACCTCAAAAATAATGTTTTTTAATCGAGCTTTTAATATTGAAGTTGATCATTTTTAAAGTTATTTCTGACATTAAATGGCCTAAATCTAAGGACCCTTCTTCTTCAGAATGTTCCGAGAAACCAGAAAAATAAAATTGTCAAGACATAAACAAGCTTTCTTATAACGATTTAGGAGGAAGCGGATTAAAAACCATCGACCAAAATTTGGCAGGACAAGATCCGGATTACTATTATTTGATCTCTTTCAGTTGATATCTGTTCATAAAGTGGCTTGGTATTAAATATCAAATGCTCAGATGTTTAGCTTCGCCAAACTGTTGTATGACCTGTGGTAAGGACCGTACGGCTGCTGTTGCAACACACCGTATAGTAACGAAAAAACAGCTGTCACCTGGAAGACAGATTAATACAAAATATATTTAATGTCATTTTGATCTGAACTTTGAACAAGGCCATCTGAGGAGGACGTTGCAAATTGAGCAATCTCCTACCCATCATATCCCACACGTGCTCAATTGGGGATAAGTCGGGAGATCTTGGTGGCCATGGTAACAATGTGACATCATTATGTTAAAAGAAGTCTATTGTGACTCTTGCAACATGTGGCCGGGCATTATCTTGTTGGAAAGTTGGATCTACCAGGGTGTCAAGATAGGGTAAAAGATGGGGTTCTAGAACTTCGTGGATATAACGCTGCGCGTTCATGTTACCTCTGATGAAGATTAAAGGTGACCTGGAACCATAAGCTATAGCACCCCAAACCATAACTCCAACAGTGTGATGAACATGTCTTTCAACAAAAAACTGTGGATTCCTCCTTTCACCACGTCGCCCTCTAACCCTGGCACGACCATCGTGCAAGCCTAAACAAAATCGAGACTCGTCACTAAAGACAATACTGTTCCATTCCTGATCCCAGAGTGACCGTTGTCTGCACACTCAAGGCGATTACGTCGGTGTTCTCGAGTTAAAGGGATGACCCAGTGTGGCCGGTATGAAAACAAGCCAAAACTTTTCATTCGTCGGTAAACACTTCGCATGGCAATAGGTCTTCCGTGTTCTGCAAACCATTCATCTGCAATGGACCTGGTAGTGGAGAAACGGTCCCTTAAGGCCAATAATCTTAGGCGGCGATCTTCACGGTCTGTTGTTCTACGGCGGCGTCCAATGCCCCTTGCTCTTTGCGTACGGCCTTCTCGAAGCCATGCCTGACAACACCTAACCACAGTGTCTACACTTCTTTGCACTCTAACTGCAATTGCCCGAAAAGAAAGTCCAGCTTCCCGAAGTCCCACTATACGGCCCCTATCAAACTCACTAAGTTGACAAAATCGTACAGGTCTCCGTACTCTAGGCATCGTAACCGATCGTAAAGGATGTCAAGAACCAAAATCCCGTGATGGCGACAAACACGTGATGGCCGAAACGTTAGATGAACTAACTTGTGTATAATTATGTGGTTTCATTTGACCCGAAAATCAAATGATTCTGCTCCACAAGCTGCAGAAAGCCATTATTTAGGAGGTTTTTCGATTATTTTGCTGCTAGCCATAAGAGATACACACATACATCTGTGTGTGTAGTTGGTCTAATTAGTTTGACCATTGTGTAAAAATTACTTCGTCTATAATAACTATATGAAATTTCAGCTTTTTAACATTAGTTCGCTAAAATGTAGGTTCAATCACTTAGGTAAGAATACTTAATAGATATAACTGCGTCACCGCATTTACAAGAATTTGTTATATTTTTATGTAAATCTGGCATTATGATATTTAATTTCTCAGAAAATTAACTCACTTTTTTATGTACAAATCCACTATTTCTCTGTGTAAGAAAGCCATTATTTAGGAGGTTTTGCGGTGATTTTGCTGCTCGCCATAAGATATATATCTGTGTGTGTAGTTGGTCTAATTAGTTTGATGGTCCATAATAAATTAATATTAATAGTGGATGAGGATAAGTGAAACATGTTCATATTTAACTTATCAAAGATATATATTGTTTAACTGTTATTTATTATAGATAATTATTCGAATAGAAACTTGAAGATATTAACCCCCCATGTTTGTCAGGGCGAATCAAACTACATATATATCAAACGAAGTGTTACCTGGAAGTCAGATATTCAGATAAACAAAATATATTGTCAAAAGTGTCAAATGTACTTGAAAAGGTCACCGGAATTTTAAATATGTGGTTTGATTCGGCCAGACAATTATGGGGGATTATCAGCATGAAAACCATAGGATATAACTTTCAGATGTTACATTTCGAAACGTAAACCGGAATTTAAGAAGTACAAAATTTAACCGAGTGAGGCTGGAACCAAAGTGAAACATGGAGAATCATTAAATGGTGTGAAACACGCAATAGGTCCAATGAAATGCCCATGAAGAGCTTTGGTTGGGCTCCAACAAGACCGATCCAGCAGGTCGTCCAGTTGAAGTGTTCGCTATTACCCAAGGACTGACCCCGCTGGTTATGAGCGCTACCTTTTTCCCCGCATTTCGTCACATGCCAGTAGCCGGCCGGATCTCTTTCTGACCACGCATCCTGTCCCTCACAGCACTGCTGTCCTGTCTCCCCCGGGTAACTCAGACCACGGTGTTGTGGAGATTAGGTTTCGGTCGGAACCCGCTGTGGCAGCAGAAACTCAATCAGGCCGAAAATTTGGCATAACGGACATGCCAACTGTTCATCGATTACCGAAATTATCCCCGTTGGAATGGAGGAATACATCCCTCATATAGTGAAAGTGCCTAAATCAGGGTCCAACGGCTGGTTCAACAAATCGTGCGACACTGCTCGTCAGTAGAAGATCAAGGCACACAGAACCTTATTACAAAATCCCACTGTAGAGAACAGACAAGCCGACGTCGAGTCCAGAAAAAAATACAAATATAACGAACGTCACGGCTTGATTAGCGACAGGCATTATGGTTTACTAGCGATCCACAGGGGACCCACTAGGTTACGCCACGCAATTATGGAGTAAGCTTATATAGTCTTATGGTGAGGCTGATGTCGTTGCTCTTGACATCACAAAAGAGATCAGCTGTGGCATGCCGTCTTATGCAAACTACCATCCTACAGGTATGTCCTCCCAAAGAAGCTTTGCAGATGGGTAGCTGACTTCCTCTCTGGCCGCAAGATATCGGCCGTAACTGACGGGTTCTCCTTTTCATGCCACAACGTCAACGCTGGTGTTCCCCAGGGATCGGTCTTGGCTCCGATACTGTTCCTTTTACATATCAACGAACTCTTTTCCTGTGCGATCAACTCAATCCACAGCTTCTACATGCAGGAATTCAGAGGTAATTGAAGGTTATCACTGCTTGACGTTGCAAGAATCTTGTTCAGTTTAATGGTTCATCTTAGAACTCTCTTCCATGCTGCCGCAGCGCGATGTGCCTGCCAGACAGACCCGCCTGACTTCGGCCTCCCTTCCTAATCGTGTCGAACTTCGTAAATCCAGAGCTGGCCGATACGATCACTCCTTTGCCCCGAGGGTGTCGAGATTATGGAACAATCTACAAGAGGAGGCTTTTCCCAGTTCTACTAACCTTAGGCAAGTCAAAAGTCGGACTAAAAAAATATGCTTGAGAGTTTTGTGATCAGGTTTTGAGATACTACAATAACAACGGAAGACAAAACATGAGTAATAACAAATTTCATAGGCGTTTAATGCTAATAAAAATAAGGGGCCACCTGTGTACCAATTTAATCGTTTTGAAATAGTCACTTAAGATCAACGTGCATAATTTCCGAATAAATAAATTCCAAGATTCCGCAACAAATAATAGTAATGTTTATACACCGTCATTCAGTGAAGTTGTAAATACTGACTTTTCTTTCTTTTCAGACCTTGTCGCAATTTATTCAGTTTCGCATGGCTTTATGTTATTTCTCTATTCGATGAGGGTTTCCCTGACTTTCGGTCGCCTGCTCTCAATACTCATAGATAAGCAAATGAAGGCTAATACAAGTTTTATAAAAACGCAGGTTGCAAACTATAGCTAAACATCTTGCAGAGAACTAAAACTAGGCAACCAGCATATCGTTAGATAAATAAAACTTCACGTGTTTGCAAGAAATGTAGGAAAATCGATTGGGCTCAACGACAAAGCATATGATTGTGGTTTTTTGACGTGACTTCCTTAAACGGCACAGAGATGTCATTTGAATGTTATATCAATAATAAACCCAGCACCCCGTTGAAAACAAATCGCAAACGGTGAATTTATAAAAAGCCTGACGAGGCGATATGTATCAGTACCATCAAAACGCGATATCAGCAGGAGACCTCGGCGATCCTGCTACATTTTACTTGCAGTTGTGGCTGGGGAAAGTACCGAATTGAAGGTTTTCGAAATATTCATCACTGCTGAATCGCGTTTGGCCGATCGTTATTGCAAACAATTAGTTGGAAGAAACTTGATCATTCAGTGACCAGCGAAGGTCAACGAAGCACCGGTGCTCAGGCATACACGGTAAGTTGTCTTAGAATATATTATGCAATGCGTAAGCATATTTTGTGATTTCGTCAAGAGGCTAATCATGAGTTTTGTCGGTGACTTTCATTCACTTTTATTTTCATAATTATTTTTAGACTGAATCACTGAAAATAGGTCATATTTGAGAGAGTTCGTCAACAGGACCAAAATAATAGGGCCATGCGTAAATTATTCGATAAACATAAACATTTGTTGCATATTTGTGATTCAAATCAGGATCAATTTTTTGGGCTCGTTTAGCAGTAGCTGCTTTATAATTTTTCGGACTGAATATTGTGCATGGATTTGTAATTTTTTCAAGTTTTGTTTAAATTATGTTATTGTAAATGTTTGTCCCAAACAGCGATGCCAGTGACCTTCAAAACTACGTATGTGGGTGTATTGATCCGACCACCAACAGATCATGCGACGCAAAGTTCAGTAACCTATGCTGTTTTTTTGGAAAACTTTACAAAACACGAACATTATAAGGTGGATTCGCAGTATGCATTGCCTCTTATGCTGTTTATCGGATTAAAATCTTTAAATGAACATGTCAAAAATGACAACAGAGTATGTTTCTACAATTGTAAAATCCATCAAGACCTTCTCACTCTGTGCAAGGCCTCGATAAGAACTAGCCTCGAGTACTGCTCACGTGTTGCCTCTCCGACTACATGATCCATGCTCGATGCTGTTCAGAGGACGGTTGTCCAACTGATCGATGCCTTTTCTCTAACTGACAGACTCGGGACCCTTTCACACCGACGCGCCGTCGGCGATCTATCTCTCTTCTACCGCAATGCCAACGGGCTTTGCTATCCTCAGAGCTCTCCTCCAAGATACCGCCGCGCGATGTGCCAGCCAGACAGAGCCGCCTAAATTTAGCCTCCCATCCTAACCGTGTCAATCTTTGTCACCAGGGCGTCGATATTGTGGAACAATCTACCTAACGAGGCTTTTCCCAGGCTGTTAAAAAACCGTATTAACACTCTCTTTAGTAATTTCAAGGTTGATGTTTCAAACCCGCCAGTTTCGTTTTGAGATTTTGGTATACCCAGTGCCACTCGCGCTATCAAAACAACACTTCGTATGTCAAACTTTATCAAGTTGTTCAACCCTAGAACTGTACCCATAGTAGAATTAAATAAGCAGTACCTTGGGGTACAGCTGCCATTTGCAAAACGATAGAAATCTTTCAATGAAAAGCAACATGGGCTTTATTAACATTAGTTTTATTAACATTGGCTTATCAAGTTTTGGAATGCTTGTGGGTAAAGATGAGCATCAATAGGCGAATAATTGTTATAGGGGTGATGTATAGGCCGCCAGGGCAAAATATCAATGAATGTGTCAGGTTGTTGGATGCCCTTTTACCTGAGCTTTCGGGTAAGTTTGATAATGTAGTTGTAATGGGTGAAACAAAATAACTTAATCTCTCCTTGTTTCAATTCAACTGGATTTGTCCAATTGGTTACCTCCCCAACCCGTGTAACGCAGCACACAGCAACATTACTTGACCCTATATTTACCACCAACCCAGATATTTTTTGTGACTGTGTTGTACTTGATGCAGGTTCGGTATCTGATCATAAACTTGTCATGTGTCAGCTTAGCTTAAATAAATTCAAGAGAAAGCAAAATATTGTAACTTTCAGAGATTTTAAATGTTTTGATGATGCAGCATTCCTTAATGATCTCGCTAATTCCTCCGTCGATGATCTGTTTTTTATCCCAAACATTGACAGTAAAGTTGACCATTTAACAAATATCCTAGTCGAATTATACAATAAACATGCTCCACTCAGAGCTGTACGTGTTTCTAAGCCACCTGCCCCATGGCTGAATGATGAAATAAAAAAAGGTATGCAAGCTAAAGTTACTGCGTTAGCAAGATATAAGCAAGATAAGACTGCAATTAATTATGAAAACTATCGTCGCATTAGGAATAAAGTCCTTATTGATATTCGAAAGGCAAAAAAAGAATATCTGGCAGTACTTTTTGAGCAAAATGAATCGAGGAAGATTTCGTCAGGTATAAATAAACTTAATATGAAGTCTTGTAGCAAATATACTTTGCCTGATAACATCAGTGATGTTAATCTGATAAACAGGTATTTCATGTCTGTTTATAGTGTTGATAGTGTGCCGCAAAATGTGTGCGAGTTTTATAGAAGCAATAAACAAAATCCCTCTAATTCTTTTTCTTTGAGAATCTTAAGTCCTCAAGAGATCTTTGATATAGTAAAAGGTCTAAAATCAGACGCTAAAGGCCTTGATACGCTGTCAATTACAATGATCAAAGTTAGTTTACCAATAATATTTTATCATATTGTACACATAGTTAACACTTGCATTGAAAGACGCTTGTTTCCCAAAGCCTGGAAGAATGCATTGATCTTACCAACGCCAAAAAAAAAATAAACCTACTGATGTTACTCATCTAAGACCCATAAGTTTGTTGCCTGTGTTGTCAAAAATACTGGAAAAAGCAGTTCAGTTACAAGTTGAGCTATGGACAAAAAAATGGCGGTTTTCCTAGTTTCAATTGACTACTCCAAAGCATTCGACAAAATTAACCATGTGCTTTTACTTTCTAAGTTAAAGTACATACAATATAGCTATCCAATTCTTCAAAAACTACCTCTCACACCGTATGCAGTGCGTTTCTGTAGGCAGCAGGCTATCAGAAGTCAGTATGATACCATCAGGAATCCCTCAGGGCTCCAAACTAGGCCCTGTGTTATTTCTCATATACACTTTTGATTTGCACAAATCTGTCGCACATTTCGATTTACTAAGCTTTGCTGATGACACTCAACTCATTCATTATTTTGACGCCTCTTGTTCGCAGGATGCTGCTGCCTTATTAGAGCAGGATCTGAGCAAAGTGCAAAAATATTCAAGTGACCATAATCTAAACATTAATCCAGATAAGACTCAAATATTACTATTTTGTTCCGACGCAAGGAGAAGTGACGTGGAGAATACATTTAAAGTTAACCTTGATGGCTCGCTGCTGCAGATTGCTAATTCAGCTACAATTTTAGGTGTTGAAGTAGATAGCAAATTGAGATTTAGGGAGCATGTTATGTCCTTAGCTAAAAAAACGTATGGTCGAATGAGAGCGTTACATGCCAATCGCCACCTACTCAACTTTAAACTGAGAAAAAAACTTTGTGAGTCTCTTGTGTTGCCAATTCTCAGTTATTGTGATATTTTATATTACCCATGTCTTGATGTACGGATGAAAAGCAGGCTTCAAATAATTCAAAACAATTGCATTCGCTTTATTGATGGATTGAGGAGATTTGACCATGTTAGTGACAAATACAGCCAAATGAAATGGCTAAGAATTGATAAACATGTGCGGTGCAAATACTTAGTGTTTTTGCACAAGTTGATAGCTGCGTCAAGACCTGCATACCTGAGAGAAAATATCATATTTAATCGAGAAATTCATGACAGGATTACCAGGGACCGTATTATGGTCAGGATACCTCCACACTCTATGACACTCTTCAAGCGTTGTTTCTCGTATAATGCTGCCGTATTTTACAATGCTTTGCCCAGAAAGTACAGCGAAATGTCTTTTGCTAGTTTTCGAAGGCAAATCAAGCAATTTATGCTCACTCTTCCCTGATATTTATATAACTGATTTTCTGAGCCGTTTAGGCATACGTGTACATAGTGTATATAGTTGTAGTGTACTTTAGTTTAGTGGATTAGTTATTTAACCTTTCTGTATTCCTTAGTGGTTCTTATATATTTTTTTTCTCTGTTTTTGGAATTGCACACAACATCGTGCTTAAAGTACAGACAAAGGTAGTTAAGTGTAAGAGTAGCTCAAGCTGAACTTCGCTATCTTTGTCCCTCACATGTACAAAATATGAATAAAGGCGTTATTATTATTATTATTATTAAGTAAGAACTTATAAATAATTTCAGCAAAAGACAAACGTTTTTTTATTTGTACTCGAGGATACGGTTCTAGGTTCTAGGGTAATCCTCCATTTTAGTTTTATAAAATTTTAATGTACTAGTGTCACTCGCACAATTAACACGAATCCATCATACAGGTATGTCAAGATCCATCAAGCCGACTGCATTGTAGTCCTCGGATTATATTTTTGTCCACATAAATACCCACGCGCGAATTACATAACTCCCTCCTCAAAACAGTCGGATAAAAATTCACGAAACCCATTGAAATCGACCATCAACATCTTCAACTTCACGATGAATTAACCCCTTCACATCCAGTACTCCACATATGGATATTTTGAATATGCTCTCTGGATACCATAATATCCACATATGGATATCATTGTTAATGGCTTATGTTATGGAGCAGGGAACTGGTATGGCGAGCTGCTATCAATTAGACCGACTGGTATGGCATACAAGCCATCCCCACCCAAATTTCTTCAATATCCAAAATATTTCCACAGAAATATTTTTACTGTTAGTACATAAGTAGTCATGCTGGTACGCGGTCGTGTATGCCTCTAAATTACGTTTTGGCGGGAAAGTCTGTTTTATCGTGTTTCTCAGTGTTGTTTGGATGTAAAAGTTTTATTTATCAAAAATGAATGTCCAGGACTATTATACAGATAGTGATGACGATTCGGAGTATGAGTTAAGTGATAATTCGAATATGAGTGACTCTGACGACACATATTCGGAGACCGATGACGATGAACTTGTCGAAAACGTGACCATGGACGAATGGCAAGTTTTAAGTGATCCTTTTTCCGATCAGGTTCCTAGAGCTACGCAAAATTTTTCTTCTGAATATACTTTTCACCCCGCCATTGATATGGAAGAGTGCAGAGATCCAGTCAATTGTTTCGAATGTTTTTTAAGCCCAAATATCGTAGCGAAATTAAGTGAGTGGACGAACAGAAGAGCTGAAATGTACTTTGAACAAAATACAAATACAAGGACAGTTTATGGCGTTCAGTGGAAGAAACTAGAAAAAGAAGAGATGTACGTTTTCATCGCGCTTCATATTCTTACTGGATTAGTAAAGTGCTCTCGCATAACAGATTACTGGAGTAATAACATTTTGTGCGCTGGTCCAAAAGTTTTCAATAAGTCTATTATGAGTCGAAACAGGTATCTTTCTATACTCAAGTTTATTCGGTTTTCGCCACCCGAAGCAGCAAGAAACAATGCCCCTCTAAGCCGACTTGGAATTTATATGTCCATGCTCAAAGACAACTGTAAGACGTTGGTTGACCCTGGACCAGTGTTTGCAATAGATGAACATTTGATGCTTTATAAAGGCAGATTGCACTTTCGTCAATATGTTAAAACAAAAAGAAATCGATTTGGCATAAAACTTTTTGCAATGTGCCCAAGCGCTCCACATTTGCGCGGATATACTTGGAACTTTTGTTTGTACGTAGGGAAAGACAATTTCGATGTATCCCATATTCCAGGCACCGGAAACCTCACTGTTTCTGAAAGAATTGTCGTGCATTTAGCTCAAAATATACTGAACAGTGGGCGAGAAGTTATTCTAGACAATTGGTATACATCCGTGCGGCTTTCGCAATTTTTACTTACCCAAGGAACCTATTTGACTGGAACTATAAGAAGCAATCGTGGAGTTCCCGCTCAGTTAACTAGAATTCCACTAGAAAGGTACCAATCCTGCTTCATACGGAAAGACATGCAACTGCTTGTACGATATAAGGACAAGAAGGATGTTTACTTGTTGACAAGTAAGCATAGTGCAGGGTTTTTTGAAAAATCTCGCTATATGGTAGGCGGTAAACAAGTGCATTTTAAAAAACCTGCCCACATTGAATTTTATAATCAAAATATGGGCTCTGTTGACGCTGTCGATCAAGATCTGGAACCTTACAATTCTTTACGAAAAAGCTATACTTGGTTTACCAAAGTGGGCTTTCAATTAATGCTTCAGATGCTTCTAAATTCTAAGGTTTTATTCTGTAACGCTAAAGATGATTTCAACATTTCGATGTATGACTATATAAAACTGTGCTGTAATGGTATTTTGCACAAATACAGTGAAGGATATCGCTGCATGACGGATGCTTCTTCATGTTATAATCAACCTTCAACTTCAAAAAAAACACAAAAAGAACACGTTATGGTTAATTTACCAAATGAAGATGGAAAAAAACGGGCATTGCGAAAGATCTGCGTTATTTGCTGAAAACACAACCAAAGGAAACTAACACGAAATATTTGCATTGAGTGTCCAAATAAGCCAGGGCTTTGTTGTCCGGAACATTTTCAAGAATACTACAAATGAACTTTATATTTTAAGCGGTTTACCAATGTTACGTTCTACTAGTTTATTTTATGTAAAAAATATGAATAAAGCACTTATGTTCAAAAAATGTGACTTTGATTTATTTATACATGGATATCCAAATATGGATATTATGGTATGCCACTATTATCCAAATGGTGGATATACTGGTATAGTCATAAAATATGAATCACTGTCGCCATGTTGTTTTTGACTTTCATGAAATATTTTAACTGTGGTTAAAGATGTATGTCATTATGTAATCTTAATATTTCATTTTCGATTTTTTTTTCGTCTGGTATGTGAAAGTGCCTTTTTAAATTGCACCTGGATGTGAAGGGGTTAAAATAAAAATACTTTGTCATATGTATATGCAAGGGAAGCAAATAGTTTGTGGCAAAGTCGCCAAGAAAAAAATTGTCAGATTAAGAAAAAACTATTAACTTGTTTCGTTTCTCCGTCAGACTCTTTCTCCAAAGGTACAACAATATAAATGATCATTATCATCAGCGGCGATTAATTTGAGAACCTTTTCTGTTCGGAATGACCAAATGAATCTAAAAGATAAGCAGGGAAAAAGGTTGATATTTTAATAATTATTACTGGTGACCACTTTTCGCGTAGGCGATATGTTGATCCTCATTTTAGGGACAACTACAGGGTGTTTCATAACGTGTGTCTAGAATTCCAACGGACGATTAATTAGGTATTTTCAAGATAAAAAGTTCATAAATATGGCTCCGCAAGGCTTTTGTTTTCGAGATACATGGTGTTATAATTTTTTACATATTTGCAAAGTAGAACGGGGTATTCGGATTTTACCTAAAATATTCAAACCATTGTTTCTTCAAAAGGAGTAGTCTGAGAAAATGACAGAGGCATAGAACAATATCTCTTTCTTCCTTAGGGATCAAATTTTTCCAGTTTCTGGTGCAGTCTCGGCCACGAACAATTTTGTATCCATTGGTCATGATGTAAGTATTGCATGCAAGTCATAACTTCATCCACTCTGAAGATATAATTTTTTTCTATTTCGAAATTATAACTTCAACGAGCTGTATTTTTGTTTCAAAAACAGCTGAGGAATCGTACTTTGAAATATTGGATACTTATTAACATACGCCGTGCAGAAAAAAATGGTTTAAACATATTGTCCAACTCTACCGCTTTCAGGCCCCTTTTTACTCTCCTCTCATTGCGCCGTTTTTACAATTTCAATTATAAGTATCGGTTCCTCTGTATTGCAATCATCTTCAGATATATTCGAAACTGGTTAAGGGTGTCAACTAAGGTACAAACTTTAATTTTTAATACCCACTTCAATACCCAACTTCCGAAAATAATTTGGATTTTAATATAAAAAATTGCGTATTTACATGTTATCGACCATTATGAAAGGTCACGATATACATAATTGGCAGGAACATAATGTGTTTTTACGATCACTGACATCTCAAACGGTATAATTAACGCAATTTCAAACTTCGAAACATATCTACTAATTATGCATAAGAAAATAATAGATAATGTCAAGTATATCCAGTCTGTGCTTAGTAAGCATTGATAGAAATGTCTATTTTCAAACGTCCGATAACCTTACTAAAATAAAATTCATGTTATGGTTTTTACGAAATAATATATGAATATAAAAATGATTATGAAAAAACCATCCAACAAACAGTTATAAATCAATATATTTATACAAAAAAAAGGATGAATAAAAATTGGGAATTGTAGAGGGTGCCTAGTTCTACGCACCTACTAGAAATATTACAGACATCATAGATTTCTTCGTACATATGTCCTTAAGGGCGGCGACCACCGAACGAGAAGATTCAAAACTAAGTTAGTTTGTTGCTGCAAACTTGAGACATTCCTGGTGAAATTCGTTCCGTATACAAATTTAATAGAGCTGCGTATTAGGAATATTATCTTATGATTCGAACACGGAACTCCTGAAGCCGTCAATTTCATATATTTTCAGCAACATACTAACTTAGTTTGAAATTCTCTTGGTTGGTGCTTGCCGCGATAAAAAATGATATCGAAATGACGATTGAGAAATATTTTCAACACACGCGTCTCTGGATATACCTGCGTTGCTATCTGATCGAGGACTGGCTGATGAGTGTTACTTGCCAGATAGCCGGTATTGTCGGTAGGACAGGGGATAAATTTCTAGATCGCCACGTTGTCAAATGAGTGCGGGGACTATGAAGTTGTGTGGGCCTGATTGACTAACTTGACCTTTCATTTTTTTTTGTTGCACATGTTCATAACTAACTCAGAATGGCTAGCGAACTTTACGAACTGTCGACAGCGTTGCGTGGAAAATGCAGAGTCCACCTACTTGACGGCATTCTTGGTTCTTTCTCAGCCCAGCATAAGATATTTTTCATTATGTTCGTCAAAAAAAAAAACTGCTTCAAAATGCAGTTTCAATATAGATATGTTATATCAGCAAGTTTTTATTATGGATATTGAACACGTTTCCCACTGTTTTCTTCCAGGTTTTTGAGTGATAAAATATTTTCATGTATGACGTATCTGTACAAATGAATCAGAGGTTCAAACTTTGGACGCATCTCCACGATTTTGTGCTAGCTGCAGATACCCTCTCTGCGCTTCGCACGGCAGACATTTCTGAATTCTGCGGTAAAATATGATAGAACACTCGATTTACAAAAAGAATAAAATTTTATTAATATCTTTAACATATTGGAATGCTTATCTGTGAGGAATGATAAAAAATAGAGAAAGTTTCGGAAACACGTAAGGTCAAGTGCGAAAGTCGAGTTAAGATAATCGTTGAGTAACTAATAGATAAAATCCGTGGGATTTTTGCACTGATTCTTAATCCAAATGTGGAGGGTTCACACATTACATCATCTCGTAATATAAAAGGATTATTCTGCTTTATGATGGGATTAGCTGCATTGTTTTATAGTGGAATTTGGATGTATTGGAGATTAGGTTGTGTAAAAAAATCCACCAATATTGAAAAATTAATTTTAATTATTTATTTATTTAATTAAGCAGTTTAAGCAGCATCTACTTCACTGAATCAACCCATCTTTCCACTCAGTTCATTATCTACTATAATGTTAATGATGTTCTAGAAATGTTGCGTGCCGGAGTTTTGCAGTAGGTTTGAGGGTGTTTTAGGAAATTTTAGGACTCAACCAAATAATGCTACAGGCCCTTAAAGGTGCTACGGGAAAACGAAATTTCTAGAGCTTTGTACCCAGTTTGAACCTCACTTGCTGTCAATGAAAAACACTTGATCACCAGGAACAGAGTATGTTTGTTCACTGTAGTATTTTCATATTATTCACAAAATATGCTTATCAATTCAAAAAACAGGACGTGGATAACATGCAACCATATGATAATTATACACAGGTATCTCAATTAGTGTGAATTGCACAATATAAAATACCAAAACTAGTATAACGTAAATGCAGCATTGTTGAACATTGCACGAAGCTGTATAAACCGATAAATTCGTTACACTTTACATTGTTGTTGCATACACGTTTTAACTGTAAGCAATTAGTTTTGATTAAATCTTTTAAACTCCATTAATCACTCTTCCACAAATCAGAGCGGAGTGCACATCTCCTACGTGAGTAAGTTCTATAAATAATTTCCGTTATTTTCCCTAGTGCTTAACGTGGGTTACAAGCTCAAAATACTCAATACTTTTCTGTACTAGTTACTTGAAATTTAACTTCCTGCGTCATAAGTGGAGAAAGAGTTGTAACCAGCAAATATTTAAATTTGGATTAACACTATCAATACCTATAAGATACAATGCTCTTCAAGTCAAATTTGTAGGTTGAAATTCGATGTGACGAATTGATAAGCGTAAAAGAGGCAGTTAAAAGCTTCGATTGGGAACCATCATGGCACATTTTATTTTTAATTGGAACTTCATTTTGAATCACCTCAAAATTACTTTCTAACCCCAGAATGAAAAATGCCGGAGTGGAAGGTTCAGAATATTATAGCAATCTTCTTCTCTTCAGAGGGTCTATCCGAATATATCCCATCAAAAAATGTCAAAATCAGAACATTATTTCCAACGGAATGTCCCCTATTTTCAGGTGGACCCTTCTAAAAGCCAAATATTGATATATCATACTTTATAACTTTGTATTATCAGTTATAAGCGGTTTATTATATGAAAATACTCAATTTTGATAGCACACTGCTTCGCCATTTTGAAAGATAGTGAGTTTATATACCATATAGTTATAAAGTTCTCATTAGGAGCTTTAAAATATATTTGAAAATGAGTTCCGAGATGGCGTCACCACCATAAATGTTTAACTATCAAATTTTCGTTCAAATATAACATTAGTGCATCTGATTCATTTGTCCGAATTTCAGCTTGTTTAAATGACTCGTTAAAAGAATAAGTTAGACGTGACCTTTTTGGAACGGTACATATGTATCGATACCAATAACTTCACCAATTTTTAATACAGTTCATTTATCCGTTACCACCAAAAGTATGTGCATGTGAGAATTACTCGAAATTCAATTTCTTGCATTAATGTAGTAGTTTGTATGATGCATACACTTTTGATCTTGACTAGGTTTCACGTACTGATGATTAGTTTCATAAATGAGTGAGGTGTCATAATAAAAGTGCAGATAAGATAAAGTACTTATCTCTGTCTTTTGGCGTTATCCTAATCTTTGAAACAGTTCCACCGATTTTGATTAAATTAAAACGGGATTCCGCGGGCTTCATAGCGGGAAATGCTATATTATAATTAAGAATGTGGTCATTATGCCTCGTAGTTTTTGTATGTTTTAACGATTTGCACATATAGGTATGCAGAGTTTGAAAAAGAAAGTGTGGGACGTATTGATCTACTTTCCACCTCTTAGGAAAATACAGTTCAAGTTCATAGCACCTGGGTAACGAAAACCTTTAGAAAGCCTGAATTTTTACCATTAAAAGGCACTTGAGACGTATCATGGCTTAGGATATTTTATTCTCCAAGAAACTTCAAACTAATAAATGATAAAAGTCATACTATGAATTAGTATTAGTAAATAGTAATATATTTATTTTCGTTCAAATCTTTATCTCCAGCAAACATTTCTAGTGATGTTTATTTTTTCAGAATAACTACCCTAAGGTAACAAAAGCTGTTATGGTGAACAGAAAAATAAAGACCAGAGGATATTGCAAGTCTCATTTGAAAAAATATGAAAAGCACCCATGTCAACTATGTCTTTGTAGTAGCAGCTGTGGGTAAGTCTAAGATATTTTCAGTATTTCATTATGCATCATGAGCCATCTTTTTCATTTTTCCATAGGAATTGCGCAGCCATATGTGCTAGCAGGATGGGGCCAGGGTGGCACTGACCCCCCCGAGAATCCGACTGAAAATTTGCATATTTAGCATGCTTTTGGGTACAGTTTTCGGAATTTTTACAATTCTCACCCTCCTGCGAAAATCTGCTACCTTCGACTCCTTAAAAAGTTCTCTTACCAATAACCGCCCACCCCTGAAAAAAATTCTTGCGGGCGCCCATGTGTGTGACAATACGGTTTTTCAAATGACATTTTAGAAAAATTGTAAGCCCTTAATTCTTGGATTGTTGAGAAATTGTGTTTCTTAGGAAAAAGGTACAAAGGATATAATTTTTAAATACATATAATTGCATAACCTACGATTTTTGTCTGACCTATCTTATGAAGAAATTCGGCTGAAAATTTAAAAAACTCCTATTTGCAAAGTTTGGTTCTGGTAACTTTTTTGCACACCCGGGATCGATTAGGACTTTTCACATTTCATCTGAGTGTGTTCCCAACTACTACTAATTTTCAGATTTACGCGAATTATTGTAACCTTGAATGTGTATTTTGACAGAATTGGTACTTGCCAGTGCCACACTTATCTATAACCACTATGCCAGTGCTTTTATACGCATGCTACTTCACGCGAATTACGGCACTGCTATGATGATGATCTCATATGTAGAGACGCTTAGGTTTGCACTTTTCAATTCTTTTGTTCTAGCCAACTACGGCACTGTTATGATGATAATCTCATATATGTAGAGATACTTAGGTTTGCACTTTTCAATTCCCTTGTTCTTGTCTAGGTTATAAATAGGAGGTACCTACTTGTAAAAGAATGTACTCTTTCGTCTTCTGTTAAATAAAGTCGTTCGGTTCGGTATTTGCATATTGATAATACGCACGAGACAGCGACAAGAGACCCAACTTATAGCGTACATGCATACCTGCATAATTCAAATTTCAGTTATATTGCACTTACGATTTCTGTAATTGTCATTTTTGTCTTGGTCGCCATCTCGTGTCGCTGTCGCAGAACAGCGCCCTAAGGGATGCTAACTAAGATATAGCTGTAGTCTCCGTTCTTGGCGGTTACGTCATCAACGCCATATGAAATAAGTAAACAGATCGAGTCTCCGTACCATGGGCGGATCTTAAGCTTCAGCAGATCTGCTACTCTCTCCAGTACGCATGAAGTGGGTAACAGGGGACCACTGTTTTCATTCTCTGCCTGGAAATACTCTAATAAATTTAGCACGAACTGTTGGCTTTCTCCATTGAACGTATTTCCGGGCCTTGACATTCAATCATATTCAAGTCACTTTAGCCCACTTTTTCAAACACTTAACTTTCGGGTTAGGTAACTATTTGTATAACTTGGAAGTTAACTATCAGTTGCCTGTAAATCCGTTTTTGAACTGGTTAACTAGCCCATAACTATACTAAGTGACATATAAATCCGAACACCCAGTTTAAATGGTTTTATTTTAATAAAAGTTGGTGAATGTATTTATCTTACTGTAAATAACAAGTGAAAAAATTGTCAGCCATATCAGTTGGACATTCCGGTTTTAATACTGCTTTTTTTTAATTCACTAACGCTCGAAAAATGAATATTTCAGCCGCAGTAAAGAATCAACGTTGGCGGATTTTGGTTCTTGACATCCTTTACGATCGGTTACGATGCCTAGAGTACGGAGACCTGTACGATTTCGTCAACTTAGTGAGTTTGATAGGGGCCGTATAGTGGGACTTCGGGAAGCTGGACTTTCTTTTCGGGCAATTGCAGTTAGAGTGCAAAGAAGTGTAGACACTGTGGTTAGGTGTTGTCAGGCATGGCTTCGAGAAGGCCGTACGCAAAGAGCAAGGGGCACTGGACGCCGCCGTAGAACAGACCGTGAAGATCGCCGCCTAAGATTATTGGCCTTAAGGGACCGTTTCTCCACTACCAGGTCCATTGCAAATGAATGGTTTGCAGAACACGGAAGACCTATTGGCATGCGAAGTGTTTACCGACGAATGAGAAGTTTTGGCTTGTGTTTTCATACCGGCCACACTGGGTCCTCCCTTTAACTCGAGAACACCGACGTAATCGCCTTGAGTGGTGCAGACAACGGTCACTCTGGGATCAGGAATGGAACAGTAGGCATGCACGATGGTCGTGCCAGGGTTAGAAGGCGACGTGGTGAAAGGAGGAATCCACAGTTTTTTGTTGAAAGACATGTTCATCACACTGTTTGAGTTATGGTTTGGGGTGCTATAGCTTATGGTTCCAGGTCACCTTTAATCTTCATCAGAGGTAACATGAACGCGCAGCGTTATATCCACGAAGTTCTAGAACCCCATCTTTTACCCTATCTTGACACCCTGGCAGATCCAACTTTCCAACAAGATAATGCCCGACCACATGTTGCAAGAGTCACAATAGACTTCTTTCAACATAATGATGTCACATTGTTACCATGGCCACCAAGATCTCCTGACTTATCCCCAATTGAGCACGTGTGGGATATGATGGGTAGGAGATTGCTCAATTTGCAACGTCCTCCTCAGACTCGAGAATCACTTCGAGAGGAGTTGGTGGTTGCCTGGAATGAGATACCACAGGAGGACATTGACCACCTGATCAGAAGCATGCCTAGGCGCGTTGGAGAATGCGTAGCACATCAGGGTGCATCCACACATTATTAAAGGTCAAAGGGCTTTAAAGCAGTGCAATCATTTTGAAATTTTAATCATTTACTTATTATGCTTCATTAAGTACTTATACAAAATTTTATTAATTAATGTGGTAAAGCTGCCTCTACGTCTGAACTTTCGTGTTGTGCGCGTTTCATGTAGTTCGATGTCTGTGTCTGTTGTCATCAATGACAATTCATTTAGACAAAATAGGTAATAGACAATCGCGATTTAACTACAACCTTCTGTCATCATCTAGATAGTCCTCTGGTTAAAGTTAAGTTTTAGGCTCAACGTTACATTGGAAAACGCTTTTTGTGTACCTGAAAATCGGGCATTTACGGGCTATACACTGATAACTGAAGGTACTTTTTCGGTTTGCATATGTTCGATGACGTTCACACCCATGTGAACCCTAAACGATATAATAATAATATAAATAATACGTATATTATTCGATAGGGAATAGAATGAACTTCATTTCTTGTTTAAGTCTCGCGATCCTATATCTCGGAAATGTTGCTACTTAGGCGCAATTTTAATGCTATTAACGTAGCATATACACAATTCTTCGTAGGCCACAAGACAAAGAATAAAGAAAAAAATACCCATTGTAATTTTTTCTGTTGTGTCTATCTTCCGTACTCCGGATTTAATGCGGAATATTTGCTGCAAGAACCAAAGATCATTATCAAAAAATACTTATTTGTACAAGGCAACGTGGTGCCCCTTGAAGTCAACCACAAAACAGACTCAAATTACATTTACCATTTTTCTGAGACATGTTTACTTTTTTATTTTCATATGTAATGGAATATTTTTTATCAACGTGTATTAGCCCCATATTTTTATCAACGTGTATTAGCCGCATAAAGCTTTTTCTTGAATATCCATTGCGGTTGAGTAACAGCTGATTATCTAACAGAATTTCAAAATTCCCCATATCCACAAATGACACATTCCGACCGACCCGTCAACACCAGGTAGACAGGGCCATATTTGGTTGTAGCTTTTTTGTACACTACGGATTTATTTTGCACTTGCTAACAACTCTTTTATTTAGAAAAGTTCCTCCACATACAAAAAATGAAGTCGATTCATTATAGCTAACGTTACAGACTAATACAATGATGGCACTTGCTGATCAGCTGTTCACCTCAGTAGACGTCAAAGCGTGATGGATACTCGTGAAATAGGGACTTTATAACCTCCAAATATCAGGTCAAATATCAAATCCACTTATGAAGATATGGCAACATAGTAAAAAGACTGGAGATGGTCGACTATCTTAGTACTGATTCGATTTCAACCAGGGGGATAAGTGGAAGCCACTCTAGTCCTTTACATTCAAGTGCAATGGTATCTATTTTATTAGCATATATTAACTGTCTCTCGGCAAGAGGCAATAAAATATATTTTCGAGGATATGACAACATATTAAAAAATGGTGTTGCTTCCGAATACATGGTAAAATTAAGAACAATTATTACCTTAATTTCCAAGGCACATGATACAATTCCAGACTTGATTATGGGTTGCAGACACCAATAGATACTATCAAACCTAGAAAAGTAGTGTTTTTGCTGACTAAATGATAGACCTGGAAGCAAATGGAAGCATTATCTGATTTGGACCAATTTAAGTATTACACTGTTCGAATATTGGTGAATATCGGACTAGTACATTCCGAGATATTGAACGGTTACCTTCACAAGGTTGCCATATTTTCATAAAAAAGTTGGAGTCCTTGTGTGTGGTGGTTATACTAAAGAGTATCAGAGGGCTAATAAACACTAATAAAAACATAACATTGCATTTGGATTTGAAGAATCAGTTGCTCTAGAAACAATGGTTCATCTGGCGACATCGCAATTATTACCATCTGATCGGTTATAACTCTAAAACTTACAAGAGAACCTTACACCGTACGGGTCACCGAGTTTCCCGCAGCTCTACGTATTGATAGAGACTTGGTATTATAGTATATTCCTCAAGTCCTAAGATGCGCAACTTGAAAATAAGGAAGATACTTCTCTCGAAAGTGTCAGTCTCACCATTTGTCTACGTATCAAAAATTCTTGAATGCGAGAATTGACGTGTACTGGAAAAATTTGTCAACCATGTGATGTTTACTTTCACGGGAAAATCAAAAATTTTGTTAAATAAAACTGTTTACCTATTTTCCAGAAAAATTTTAAATACGTAAGATTTGCATCGAAACTGGTAGTTTACTATTAAATGAGGAAATTAGATAAATGATTTATTCCCCAACGTCCCCTGCATTTAATTATTTAAAAAACATCAGCTAACAAAAAACCTTGCAAGCTGTCTGTCTTGACAGAACAATTTTCGTAAATTAGCATTTTTGAAATTTTAAATAATAGTGAGACTAACTTTCGTGAAAAATTTCTCCCCTATTTACAATTGTGCACCTTAGAGCTTTGGGAATATACGACCTAGCAAGTCTCTTTGAATAGATAGAGCTGCGGCCAAATCGGTGACCCGAAGGGTGTCCTTATTGGTGAATATTGGTACTCTACTTCCCTAGATATTAGACCGTTTCCAAAATTTTGATTAACCAGTATAACTGTAGTTGTATTTAGATATTCACACCATGTTTATATTTTAAAATTTCCGAACCTTTACCAAAGATTTTCGAATAAAAACCTCTAATCTCGTCCTAAATATACATATAACTTATAACGATATATATATTTTTATTCTGTTGCAGGAAACCTGTTGGCTCTAACAGGCGACACAGCATTAACTTGGTCGTCTCCAGTGTTGCCAAAATTATACTCTAATGACACCGCTGTGAATCCTTTGGGGAAACCAATCAGTTCAGATGAAGAATCATGGATCGGATCAATGCAGTACATCGGAGCTATGTGTGGAATTTTGCCATTTTCTTTGTTGGCGGATAAAATTGGCCGGAAGCCAGTACTACTGTTCTTAGCTGTACCGCACATATTGTCGTTCGTGATCTTTGCTTTGGCCAAAAATATAAATTGGTACTATGCTGGGCGATTTTTAGGAGGGATATCGCTGTCATCTGTTTATATAGTACTTCCGATGTACGTGGCTGAGATAGCAGAAGATTCCTACAGAGGAACGTTGCTGGTAACATACAGCACTTTCGCCAGTTTTGGAGATTTGTTACCGTATATAGTGGGACCATACATTTCGATGTTTTGGTTCAATGTGATTTTGTCAGTATTTCCTTTAGTATTTTTTGTATTGTTCGCATACCTTGCACCAGAAAGTCCTTATTTTTACGTTGGCAAAAATGACTTTAAAGCCAAAAGGTGCCTGAATAAATTAAGACACGCCAAATTGACTTATGATGCCGACGATGAGATCGAAGAAATAAAGCTCGAAGTTAACAAAAATCAAAAAGGTGATTTCTGGAATACCATCAAACGAAAATATGTTGTGAAGGGTTTCATAGTAGCTCTAGGGCTAAGTAGCTTGCAACAATTGTCAGGGCTTGCAGCAATTTTGGCGTACACTCAAAACATTTTTGATGATGCAGGTTCAAAAGTTTCACCAGAAATCTCATCAATAATAGTTGGTACAGTTTTGTTCATGGCAAGCTTTGGTGGACCCATGATTGTTGATAAAAGAGGTAGAAAGTTCCTACTACTGTGCTCGTGTATCGGAATCATAGTTTCAGAATCAGTATTGGGCGTATATTTCTATCTCAAAGATCGAACTACAGTGCCAGTAGAAAATATCAGTTGGTTGCCTGTAGTTTGTTTAATGGTGTACGTCATCACTTTCAACATAGGCTTTGGGCCACTGCCTTATACCATCACATCTGAAATTTTGCCGTCCAATGTCAAGTTTCACTTGGCGACTATTACAGGATTTTCAGGCTGGCTAATGTCATTCTTGGTAACAAAGTTTTTCGGAGCACTTAATGATAGCTTAGGAGCTTGTGGGACATTCTGGTTATTTTCTGGGATATGCGTATTTGGGTTGTTATTTATTCTTATTATTGTACCTGAGACCAAAGGCAAAAGTTTCCAAGAGATACAAGCTATTCTAGATAAATAATGACTGAAGAATATGTGGCATTTTGTACTTTAGGTGAACAAAAGTTTAGATTTTTAGAATTTGTTTTAATTACCCTATTACGTAGGTCATGGCCTACATGTTGTTTTATAATTAAATACAATGCAGCTACGTTATGTTTAGATTTTTATAAACTATCTGCTTTAAACATTCAACTGTTAATATAAATAAATTGTCACTATGGAGTCGTGACAGACTGTGATGACGAAAGAAATAATTTGGCAAGGATAGGTGATATTCGAAAAGAGAGATACATTTCATATTCAAACGATAAGTTTAAAAGAAGAAGCTGTAAGAATAGCAATCATGAAAAAAAAGGCGAATCATATACGGGAGGTTCAAATTTGGCTGAAGTAATGTGTTCAGAGAAGCGTGCAATATGTATGTTAGAAAGAGTGCGCCGATGACAACGCGGCAAGCCGCAGCTGCGTCCGTGGCCTCGTCACTCGGGTTGCTAGGTAACGAGGTGCTTCTATCTCTTTCTAACACACGTATCTATCTCTTTCTAACACACGTATTGCACGCTTCTCGCGCTTCGCTCTCATACACATTGTGACGTCAGTGGTATATGGATTTCACTGTATACGTAGTTAGTCGAAACGTCAATATTTCTGAACAAAGTATCGGGCGATGTATTATTAATCATTCAAACCTTACGAAAGTTTGTATCATCTAGGTACCTCACACATTAACTGAGGAACAGACACTGGCAAGAATAAGTTGATAGAAAAAAATGTTGAAAAGATTTCAATACATAGCACATTGCTGTAAATCTAATCGTCAGATATAATGAAAGCAGGATATACTTTTTTGATGCTCCCCAAAGGACAAACTCAGTTCTGAATGTTCGAAAATGTAGATCAGCCAACCCAAGCGAAAAAGTCGCGGCTGGTTGCGCAAATAATAATCATATCTTTTTTCATAAATTTAGGAGTAGTAGCAAACATGGTGCTTGATCAACAGACACATCGGCAGGCGTATTGAGCTGTCCTTTCATGGCCAAATGTACCGAACAGAAAATAGTCACTCGGTGCCATGTCAGGAGAATATGGGGAGTGGTTAAAATGCCATTTTTTATAAAAAAATCGGACATAAGCGTCGATCGATTAGATGGTGCATTATTGTGCAACAAGCGCTAGCTTCCTTCTTCGCGATAGTCTGGCCGAACACGACGAATACGCGACAGCAAACGCCTCGTAACACCGCATTAGCCGTTTGGCCCGGTGGGACGAATGTCTCTCGAATGTTGAATTCGAAGCAATTTTTGGTCATACTTGAGCTTCTGCGGAACAAACCATGAACACACCTTTCTCAACCCTAAGTTCTTAGTCAAAATGCGATGGACCGAATCTTTAGAGATATTTAATTCCATTTCTATGTATCTCAATGAAGATTTTCGATCATTCTTGATAAGTTCACCAATTTTTTCGACGGTTCCTGGCGTGATCACAAGTTTTGGCTGGCCAACATGTTCGTCGTCTTCCAGCGACCCACAACCCTCTTTGAACCGTGTAAACCACTCGTGGACTCGGCTACGAGATAAACAATCATCACCATACACTTTCATCAACATCTCATGCGTTCCGGTAAATATTTTACAAAGTTTAACACATAACTTAATATTGGGTCTTTGTTCGATGCCCATTTTTCGACCGATGCTGTCACTTTGAGCGCGATAACTCCGCGTGAAGCGATTCGATTGCCATGAAATTTTGACAGCGCATCAATGAAAGATGTACCTATCCTACGCTAGTCTTCGATAATAGATGGCGCTACTTCATCGGATATCGGATATTTTTCAAAAGTCCGGTTTACTTTGCGACAGACTTTGTATACCATCTATTATAAAACCACAGTGATTTGAATTTAAAAATATTAAGAAAGTTAATCAATCTACTAAGGAGTAATTTTTCAAAAACCTTAGCAAAACCTGATGTAAGTGAAATTGGCCGATAGTTAGACACTCGTATTATCATTCGCTTTGTAGATAGGTATTGAAAGGATTGTTAATAATATCAGGTTTCTGATTCTCATTCTGACCATACACATTAAAAATGTCCAATCAGACTGATTTTGTTCCTATGTGTTACGAAAAATAATACATCGGGTCCAAGGACGGCAACGTCGGAAGACTAGAAAATATATACAAAAACTTGTATGGTACGAAAAAAAGCATGTAAACACTAAACGGACAGAATAAATCGAGCGTTGTTACCGGGCAGGTAGTTTTTATTGAGAGCTCCGAAAAACATCGTGTCGTGTGAGAAAGGACGTAATATTTCAGAAGGTGGGATAGAACTTACTGAATATTGATTAGTTGTGACGGGTTAATAAGTTATCGTGTTGCTAAGTACTGTGTATAGACTTAGTGCAAGATGAGTGACACTTCAAGTGAGGATGATAATGAACAATCTGGACTTTATGTGTGTGCTCCAACCAAAAAACGGAAGATCGAGAAAACTGTTGACAAGCTTGTGGCGAAAAAAGTGAGTAAGATTTTGAGTCAACGTAATTTCATACAGAGCACTGATTCAAAATACACCGGGAAAGCAGATTTGATACCAGAGTTTGATCCGGAAAAATCAGAGATCACTGCCATAAATTGGTTACATAAGATTGAACAAATTGGAATGATTAATAGTTGGAGCGATGAACAAAAATCATTATGCATGCAGTCTCGCCTTACAGGATTGGCAAAAGTTTGGTATAACGGGCTAACAGACTACAACTTGAATTGGGACGAGTGGAAATTGGCCATTTCACGTGCCTTCCCTGCACATACAGACTACGTCAACTTGCTAAAAAAAATGTTGGCGCGAAGTAAGAGTAATGATGAGAGCATGATGCATTATTTTTATTCGAAGAACATGCTGGTAAAAAAATGTGGACTAGTGGGGACTAATGCAGTTTCTTGCATAATTGATGGATTACCCATACCACTGCAAGCTAACGCCAAAGCGGGGAACTATGAATCACCAGACGAGCTGTTCTACGGGTTCCTTAGCAAAGTAGAGAGTTTTCGCGAGTCGCCAGCTAAGAGAATGGGTACCACAGAAAATTTTGATCTACAACCTAGTACATCTGGACAATTGACATTTAGGTGTATCTTATGCAAGAAAGTAGGGCATAAAGCCCGACATTGTTTACTTAGAAGATCGAATCAGGCGACTAGTAGCAGTACTCCAAGGAGCAGTGATCAAGGTACCCGTTGTCCTCGTTGCGGAAAGAAGGGGCACACGGAGCAGCTGTGTTGGTCCAGAGTCAAGCCGATATGTTCGAGTTGCGGTAAAATGGGACATAAGGACCAGGACTGTTGGAAAAGACCGAGTTTGACATCGACCTGCACCACCTGCGGGAAAAGAGGACACCTAGCTGAAAACTGCTGGACTAAGGAACGGGGGAAGCCTAAGGATGTCAGAATTTTGCAAAGGCAAGTGCCCAATTCTTTCTATAATATAGCCATAGAAATTAATGGTCAACATTTCAATGGGTATATTGATACTGGTAGTCAATTGAATGTTGCTAATATTAGGGTAGCCAATAAACTCAATTTAAAATTGTATCCGACTGATATAATACTGAGGAATTTCAGTGGCTCCCACATAGTGCCAGAAGGAATCAGTCAGGTAGAGATATCTATTGGCAAGATTTTTATGACTACGTCTTTGGTATTTGTAAATGTTGAAATGTCCTCAGTTGATGTTATTATTGGACAACCAATTATAAATAGCGAAAAGGTGACTTTGAGTGTTACAGGTGGTCATATACAATTAAAACCAGCTGAAGATAATTTGTTAGATATGTTTAGTTTCCTAGATAATATAGAAAAATTGCCTATTGAAGTTTTTGAACATGTACATATTCCTGCTCTAAGTTCTAAGAGAATATTGGTTGCTTTAGATAATACCCACGATATTGTTATTATAAGTGGTCAGCTGTTTACTGGTTCCCAAAATTGTTCTATACAAGGTTGTATTATTAGTGGACCAGTTCAAACGTTAAATGTCATAAATTGGGGTAATAAACCTATATGTTGGGACAAAGGACAAATTTTAACAAAGGGGTTCAAGCTAAGTTCCTCGACTAAATTTCCAGTCATAGAAGAAGGCAATGTACTAAGCACTCTATCGTTACAAATGGATAACATAATTTGTGGAAATTTATCAGAAAATGATAGAAATAAGTTGTATGATCTTTTACATAGCTTCAGCAAATGTTTTGCAACTGATACTCTCGAGTTAGGTAATAGTAAATCAGTAGAATTGAAAATAGATTTGTTATCTGACAAACCAATCGTTCATAGGCCCTACCGCTTGTCTGAATTTGAAAGGGGGATCGTCCGAGATAAAATTAGTGACCTCTTGGAAGGAGGTATTATTAGAGAATCATCATCTAACTACTCTAGTCCAATCGTTCTTGTAAAAAAGAAGACCGGAGATTACCGTTTATGCGTTGACTATAGAAAATTAAATTCTATCATGGTTAAGAATAATTATCCACTACCACACATAGAAGATTTGATATCCAGGCTACAAAACAAAAAGTATTTTTGCAGTTTAGATATGGCCCAAGGATATTATCAAGTGCCTGTGGCATCTGATTCCATTAATAAAACTGCCTTTGTAACGCCTGACGGTCAGTATGAATTTGTAAGAATGCCTTTTGGGATCGCTAATGCTCCCGGCACATTTCAAAAAATGGTAAATAATGTATTGGGAAATTTGAGATATGATACGGTCGCTGTTTATCTCGACGACATACTGATCCCGTCAGACACTGTGGAACAGGGATTGCAAGTTTTACGACAAGTTCTTGAGTTATTTGCCAAAGCCAATTTAAAATTGAATATAGATAAGTGCTCATTTTTCCAGACACAAATAGATTTCCTTGGATATGAGATTTCGGAACTAGGAATAAGACCTGGTGATCGAAAAGTTAGAGCAGTAGCAGACTTCAAAGATCCAACAAATATACATGAGCTACGGCAGTTTTTGGGACTCAGTTCCTATTTCCGTAAGTTTATAAAAGATCATGCAAAAATTGTCGCTCCACTTACAACATTATTACGAAAAAATGTGCCGTGGTCTTGGGAAAGTGAGCACAAACAAGCTGTTAGTAAAATTAAGGATATACTTATAAATAAACCTATTCTCAAAATTTATGACCCTGAAGCAAAGACTGAACTACATACAGACGCATGTAGCAAGGGCATTGGAAGTATGCTCCTACAGTATGAGGGAGCTACGTTAAAACCGGTATATTACTTTAGCCGATCAACATCTCGTGATGAAAAATTATATCATTCATACGAGTTAGAGACCTTAGCTGTTGTTGAGTCAATCAAAAGATTTAGGGTCTATTTGACAGGGATACATTTTAAAATAGTCACAGATTGTAGTGCAGTTAGGGGTACTTTTGAGAAAAAGGATTTGCTACCTAGGGTTGCACGATGGTGGTTGAGTATCCAAGATTTCGATTTCGAAATAGAACACCGTCCGGGTGATAAAATGAAACATGTGGATGCTCTAAGTAGAAATCCAGTGGGCGATGTACTTATTATGGACGCGTCTGATTGGGTTTTAGCATTACAACAGCAAGATGAAAGTATACGGATAATAAAAGAAAAGTTAGCCGCAGCAAATAACAAGGACATTTTAAATAACTATAAAATAAGGGATCATAAATTGTATCGTAAGACGTTGGATGGTAAGCTTAAGCTGGTTGTTCCAAAGTCTGCGCGATTTAACATATTGCGGAAATATCATGATGATATCGGCCATGTAGGACTAAAACGATGCGAGGCAATCATCAAGGACAAATTTTGGTTCAAAAATATGACTAGATTTATAAAAAAATACGTAACTGCGTGCCTAGATTGTCAGTATAAAAGGGGACAATATGGAAAACCACAAGGACAACTCTTTCCCATAAGTAAGCCGTGCGAACCGCTTCATACATGGCATATTGACCATTTAGGCCCATTTGTTAAAAGTGATAGGGGAAATTCATATATTCTCATGATAATTGATTCATTCGCTAAATTTGTATTTGCTAGACCGACAAAAACTACAAAGGCTAAAGAGGTTAATGAACATTTAGACGATTTATTTAGTATGTTCGGGACTCCCAAAAGAATAATTTCAGATCGTGGAAAAGCTTTCACTAGTAAAGCGTTCAAATTATTTTTAAGCCAGTATCAAGTTAAACATATTTTAAACGCTATAGCATGTCCAAGAGCAAATGGGCAAATCGAAAGGTATAATCGAACAATATTAAACGGGATAAATACGTCTATAGAAAATGAAAGTGATTGGCAGAGAGCTCTTCCTAAAGTTTTATGGGGTATTAATAATACAGTGAACGACACTACCGGGTATGCGCCACACCTTTTAATGTTTGGTTATGAAAAAAACCGTCATGCTGATCTGGGAGATAATGAGTTTGAGGTCCCGCCCGATGCTAAGCGAAAGGCAAAAGACAGGATGGACATACAGGCAAATAAAATGAAAAAACGTTTCGATGAAAAGCACACGCCTACAAAGTCATACAATAAGGGTGATCTTGTATTATGGTCAGGGGCGAATACAAATCAAAAAGAAGTTAGTAGGAAAGTAGGTTATCAAAAGTTTGGTGGGCCTTATAAAATCAAGAAGGTTTTGGGAAATGATAGATATGAAATAACATCTTTGGAGGGCTTGAAGGGGTATAAGAGATTTAGAGCTATAGTAGCTGCGGATAGCTTGAGAGAATGGAAGGGTGGTGTCGTTGATATTACAGAAAGTGAAAGCGAGGTCAATAGTACAGATGAGCTGATTGATTTGCTAGAAGGTTAGTCTGTAAGGTATAGATACATTTATATGTTCTCTAATTATCATGTAATAAAACTGGTTACTGGAGTTGCAGTGTTATTGTGAATCAGTGGTAGTGTGGTAACCGAGATCACACTAGATGAAAGGTAGCATACATAACTATATGTGTGGTAACACAGTTCACACTATCGAAGATAGCATGAGTGTGGTAACAAAGTTCACACCAATCTGATAGATTTAATAAGTGTGGTAACTAAGATCACACTGTGAAAAAAAATACACATGAAGTGTGGTAACTAAGCTCACACATTAATACAGGTATATAAGTGTGGTAACTAAGATCACACTGTGAAAAAAAATACACATGAAGTGTGGTAACTAAGCTCACACATTAATACAGGTATATAAGTGTGGTAACTAAGATCACACTGTGAAAAAAAATACACATGAAGTGTGGTAACTAAGCTCACACATTAATAAAGGTATATAAGTGTGGTAACTAAGATCACACTGAAAAAAAAAATTATGAAGTGTGGTAACTAAAGTCACACTGGCTGTGAGTGAACAATGCTACAAATTCATCCACCCTGTAATAGATTTTGTAGTAAAATGGTACTGTATTTTGTTTCTTTCCTAGGGCTACAAATAACAACCATGGGTACTATACCACTGGCGAGGACACCAGAGGGTCAGGAAGGCCGATTGTTACGAAAAATAATACATCGGGTCCAAGGACGGCAACGTCGGAAGACTAGATAATATATACAAAAACTTGTATGGTACGAAAAAAAGCATGTAAACACTAAACGGACAGAATAAATCGAGCGTTGTTACCGGGCAGGTAGTTTTAACAGTAGGCCTGAAAATCTTCGCACAATTCAACCATCCTAATTTGTTTATCAGATGTAAGGCTTTCGGGATAAAGCTTTTCTTAAATACTTTATAACTACTCTACTATATATGTATGTAGAAACACTGGAATAATTGCAGGTCCTCACAATAGATTCTGGCGCAACATTACTACTATATGCAACAGTATCGTAAGTATCAGTCGGTTGTCTCCTTTTATAAAACATTTTTCCTGATCAGCCTCAGGTCCGTTTTAGATATATCGGGTGTAACAAAAGTAGGCTCCCTGTTTTTTCCGGTAAGGTATCCTTGAAAAATGTCAAGGTCAGGTATTTATTAACTTTGAATAAGACGTTCAATGATAACCTTGGATTTGATCTTGAACCTTCAGGGTTATCAATTCTATCTTTTGTATTTTATTTTTATCAAAGGCTATTGAAAAACGGAAAATTCTACGTTCGAATCTGTAATAAAATCTAAGATACTTAAGATCAAATGAAGGTCAAATGTGCTAGGGAAGTAAAATTTCCTAAAAGTTTAGCAGGATTATTGGTGACAAAATGAAGGTTAGAGCTTTCCAAGATGGATTTGACCTTAAGTCTCACCTTCAGGGTGATAGTAGTATATAAAAACGCATTAATGAAAGGGTGTGTTACAACAGTTATTGGTGGGTTTTCGCGTTCTCTTAGTCGTTTTGCGTTTTCGGAACGGTGTGCGGGGGCGTTTCTGAAACATCCAAAACAGATAATCTCGTGCTTGATTGTCGTCTTTTGGAAGCGGGAATGCCTGCCTCAGGTGGACCCGGGCTTTGCTGGTTTTGCGCGGTGCCATCTTAAAATTGTAATTATGGCCTCGAGCCTCGGCCTGATACAGGACCATTGAGGCTGTTGCAACACACTGTATAGTAGCGAAAAAATAAACGAACTGTCACTTGGATGATAGATAAATGTGACATATATTGTCGATGTCATTAATATGTAATTTGACATAGTTTGGACTGAAACATCACATTATTTGAAATTACAAAACATATGTGGTTTCATTTGACCAGAGAAATATGGCACTCTGTCAGCTTAAAAACCACAGGATAAGTTTCAGATGTCATTAAAAACTCTGCTGCTTTGGTCTGTTCATTACTAGTTAATGGATGAATGTTATGTAGATTATAAATACAATTTTTTGCATTTGAATAAATTGACAATTGACCTAGAGTTGGTCCAAGGCTCTTACGCCATTGAAATATAAAAGTTGAGCATAATGAGAAGAATAGAATATTCGAATGTTCAAAGCTGTAGTTGTTCATAATTTGCATTCTTGACAAATAGTGGATAGTTTGTAGTAAATGAGATATCGGAAAATTTGCAGCACGGTTTGAACCAAAAAGTGTTCCTCCTGGCATAAACATAAATGAAAACTGGGAAGGATATAAAATAAATCGCAACATACTGTTGTTTATTAACCTGTAAAAAACAAATGTAAACTTATCTCTAACATCAGCGTCCCTGAAGACTTCCTTTCTTTGGTCTGTATTTCTCCCAGTACCTGTGATTGACAGTAGTGAAGTCATTACAATGTTCCGCCAGATCCTTCAAATATCTGGACAGCCTCAGAAGTTCGTCGTCTTTGTATCGGTTCAGATGGGCTTCCCTGAACGGCCTGATCCTGAGACCATTTTTCGGGTTCATGATGAAGTTTCGCCTGATGTCGTCAAACATGATTGTGTTTTTAGAGGAAAATTGTGTGAATTTTCCCCAGATCACTCCGAGCGGTTTTACCTGCAATGAAAAATAAATTTACTTTAAAGGTGTATGAACTATAATGTAAAAAACTAAGAGCTAAGAAATTGTAAACTGTGTTTCTTAAGAAGAAAGTCAAGTAGGAACTGTCTTTGGAAGTGAATGAGGATAACTTCAAACAGCAAGGGCGCCCGCAGGGGATGCAGAGATGGCAGGGGTATGTTCTGCGTATCCCGTTGGATCTTAACAATTGATATTTTTAGGATGATTTTTCTATACAATCTTGAAGATTTTTAGGTTGTTTGACAACCCTCTCTCGAGACAATTTGCAATGTTTTTGCAACAAAGACACTTTTACAAAAAGTTATGTCTCGCCGATGATCGTCGACTTGAAAGAAATTTTTACGGACGCTATGTCAAAAAAAAGTATCATGAGGTATGCACCAAGCATTAACGTATTTTTTATGAGAAAAGAACACCTTGTATATAAAAAATGAGCTAAGTAAATACCAGTAATACACTAGCTTACTTTAAAAGGCGGTCGACATTACTAAACATTACCCAAATGGAGACATTGGTGGATTTAGAAGCCGTTTTCTCGTATCCCAGCCACGCTCTTCAACTGTCACAAAGGCATTTGATCGCAGAAGCGCTTAAGCATGCAGCTGCTGCGACGCTCCCCATAGGCAGATTCCAAAATCGACCCTTGCTTAGAGAACTTATCAGGAAGGTATATGAGATCAGACTTTGCACACTACATATGCAATTCTTTGAATTTACTCGGTACAATAGGCTGAGTACCGGGTACAAACCGAGGATCGGTACTTGAAACTCTTTAACCAATGAAACGTGAGTACTTTCTTCAGAATCTTGTTCACGGTTTTGCTGCTAAGAACGGTCTCGACATTCAGCACACTGTATTGTGTCATTGTGACAATACTACAAGTATTTTGAATTTTAGAATAGAACGCAACATATGAAAACCGTCAATGTTGCTTTGTGTTCAACTTCGAGATTCGGACTCGACAATCACATATTATGTAATTACGTTTGAATCACTTGATCTTCCTTGATGCTCCCTTGAAGATCGCTCATATTACATTACCGAAACTGATAGCACATTATTGTTGTTTACTCAACACTATATCTCACCTCTACGACACCATATTTTGGAGTATGTACTGAGATCATAGCTAAGGAGTCTAGATAAAATGCGATTTTGTAGTTAGGATTCGTGCTGACACCAAGCAACTTCATTTTTTCTTCTATCCATTTCATGTTTGTGGCTGACCAAATAACTATATCATAATACTCATAGGCATCTGTGAGGAACTCGTGGAGGTATGGTCTCATCAATTCTGCTCCAGTTTGTGCTGTTGATCTGTGATCAAATAGTGTGTAATCTATATCTAAAACCTACCAAATAAATAGCAAACTATTAACACCACAATACTGTCTGCGAAAACCAAAAGTTCGCCAATTTTGGCCGAAAAAACAAGGTTGAAATCGATTTAAAATAAACTAGTCTCAAAATACTCTTTAGGCCCATATCGTCAGTCGTCCCTACAATTGTAGGGCGCGTTTATGGCCTCCTTGATTGTCATAGTCCTTTCTCTCCTTCAAAAATTTCTAGATTACACTTGTCCCGTGTTAGCGTCAGCGCTCTCCTATTGTAAAGATATGTTTTCTTTTTAAATTGTAGGAAATTTCAGGCTGAAAACTATGACAATCAAGGAGGCCATAAAGGCGCCCTACAATTGTAGGGACGACTGATGATACGGGCCTAAATGTATTGTGAGAGCAAGGCTTTAATTGGACGACCTCAAAAAATTTCAACCAAATCTTCAAGCATTGAATATACCGACAATGTAGCTCAGATCAAATTTGTTTAAACAAATTTTTTAAATAAATTACATTTTTTTTTGGAACGGACAAATTTTGTTCAGTTTTTTTTTATCATTCCGAACAAAAACGGCTTGAATCAACTTTTCTATAAAGCTGACCATTTTCAAGTTATGCCCTAAAAATGGGTATATTCAATGCTTAAGAACTATAATTTTTGAGGTCGCCAAGTATCTAAATTAAAGTTTAAACCGAAGGATATTTTGAGATTTCTTTATTTTAGAACGGTTTTTAAGATTGTCTACAAATATTATTATAATTCTAACCAAAATTGGCGAACTTTTGGTTTTCGTAGACTACTAAATAATGTAAACTTGGACATAAATTGTGAGACTAGACAATGAACACCAGTAATCGAATGCGACTCGAAAGAATCAAGATAAAAGGCTAAAAAGTGAATACGACTTTCACACGTCCAACCAACCAAGTACGGCGGCTTTTTCATGAGTATTTATCACGGTTGAATGACAGTAATACTTAAAAATTCCTCATATCGACACAGGACACATAATTCTGACGGATCCGTCAACGCCAGGTAGACAGATCCGTATTTTGATTGCTACAGATTCATTTTGTACTTGTTAACAGCTCTTTTATTCAGAAAAGTTCATTTACATACAAAAAACAAAACGCCACCAACAAGTTTTACTAGATTTATACCCGGTTCATGATTGACATCGTTGAAGACCAACAAAAAAAAGTCACTGGCTGATCAGCTGTTCACCTCAGTAGACGTCAAAGCGTGATGGATACTTGTAAAATAGGGTATCACATCTATCGACGCCGCATTCTTCGGTGTACAGCCAGATGAAAACTCCATGACGAACCGAGATTTCGGTTAACGTCTGCGGCATTTTTAAAAATTCTGAATTACTTTTTGCTACTTGCACCACCTTCATAGTGGATAGCTATATCTTATATAAATACCTAGTCGATACAATGAAAAGATATATATATGATACACTAGAAGAGAATTATTTTTTTTATAATCTGATTATCTGATGACATTACAAATTATAGCAATGAAAAGAGGAAATATATGGAGACGTCGAGGATATCATTATATCAATCATGTAGCAAAAATTTTGACACAAATAAAGTTTCTTTTGGTTTAGGATACCCTCAACTCAAAAAGCATCATTTAGCACTCTATCAGCAAAGGATAATATCATTTCAATACATACTGTATTACATATAAGCAAATTGGAAATTGCATTGCAAACATCAATTAAAGAAGAAATTTTTGTCTCTGCTCATGTTACAGTAGGTTTTGCAGTGCTAGTGCATTCAAACTTATCGTTTTACAAGAAAAAAGGTAAAATATGGCGGCGCGCACGATCAAGACAGGATATACCGTTGATAACAATATTATAACTTAAGTGTTCCTTCATGTTTTGTTACTTACAAGTAGCTTCTTATCTGGACGGAACTGATTTAAAACCTTGACATTGTACTCTTTTATTCTTCTCTCAATTTTTGCGAGATAAACTTCTTGATTTTCAATAGCAATTTCATCCTCTTCAATGTCAAAATCATTTACAACATCAGGCATATTTTCTGGCGCTGTGTTGGCCTCAGCAATATCTTCTTCTCTAGAGCCCATCATCATTAGCTTGAAGTTCTCTTTCAGTTGCAATCGACCCAGTTTGCACTCATCTTCCGGGGTTTTACCTGACATATTGCAATACAATTTAAGAAGCCAGCAAGAATTGAAAAAAATTATAACAAGCGATTTCCAATACACATGGTTTCCCAGAATAAGGTGGCAATCTCTCAGATACTGCTTCCAAATGGTGGATATAGGCCCCTAAAAGACCCTACTGAAACCTTGCATATTACAACAATTTTTTTTATGGGAGGGGCTCACATGATGGCGCCCATTGAAAACAACTGATTTAAATCACCAGAGAAGGAGTCTATCTAAGGCTGTTGATTTTTTTAACAACATATTTAATAGTGGCAGTTTTTCTTTACCTGAAAAAAGATACATTAAAATGTACACTACCATCCACCAAAAAGATGAAAGTTTATATCTTGGGGTTATTGAGTCCCTAATTACGAATCTGTTATCAGAAATATATATTTCCAACATGCTAGAACCATGCTGAAACAAGTATGTTTTTCTTATGTCAAAAGTTGTACATCTTTTTCAGCACAAGCATCAGGATATACAGAAATATCATTATTACCCATGTTCATACAATGCATAAAAGTAACAATATTGTGTTGGAATTAGCCATGGGCACCCACAGGTGGGTACTATGAGGGAGATGTTACATTAAGATCTGCATATTTCCCATCATTTTTTGTACAATTTTGGGAATTTTTAGGATTTGGCCACCCTGAGAAAATCTGTTACTCTTCAAAGAGGCAGGTACACTCTGTCTCTTGCTGATGACTGACCCCCTCTAAAACTCATGTGGTTTTTATGCTGTATCCTGGCATTTAAATGAAATCACAAGTAGGATTAACTTTTTATCCATAGGAAGCACCTAAGAATACTTTTTATAGAAAATTTGGCATTATTTTTTAATGTTCCATATGCATTCAAGAGATTTTCAACATGTTTTGGGGCACCCTATATACAATTATCCTAATAATCATATAAAAAATGGTAGAGATTGAGTTGGTCTAAAAATATGGGAATTGATATGTGGCTTATCTTGTATACCTGCAAGAAAAACTTGGATAGAAGTGAATGAAAAATATAGCCTTCTGAGTTGATAGAAATGTAGGGAATGTACACTAAAAGATCAGTTATATTAATAAAAAATAATATACATGTCCAGACTGTTAGTAGTACTGATACTAAAAAGCACTCTCATAAATTTACCTTGCAAATACTATAACTAATAGATCTGATCCACAGAAAAGGTCATGAGTTGGGAAATTTACCTGAAACGGGGTTTTGTGTAATGGTAAGGAATTTATTTACTTGGTACAGAAATTATTACAGAATGGCTAATTATTTGCAAGATAAAATGTGTCAAATTGTACATTATGTGCCTGGGAGTTGAGATTAAATCTGCTTTATGGTGTTAATAACATAAGCACTGAATTGCCATTTATATTTGCCTATCTGTTGTTTGTTTTAATAGGGCATAAATGAGATTTGAATACACTTTGCTTTTCTATACCCTAGGCCCCTATCATCAGTCACCCCTACAATTGTAGTTCATGGCCTCCTTGATTTTCATACTCCTTTCTCTCCTTTAAAAATTGCTAGATTACACTTGTTCCGTGTCAGTGTCAGCACTCTCCTATTGTGAAGATATGTTTTCTTTTTAAATTAAGGAAATTTCAGGCTGATAAAACATGATATAAATAGATGTTTGTGACATAACCTCAAAATAGAGCGCTGACATGGAGAAGTAGAAAATTATGACAATAGAGAGGCCATTAGGGCGCCCTACAATTGTAGGGATGACTGACGATACGGGCCTTGTGATGCCGTTGAGCTTTCCAGCAACAAGTTGCAACTTGTCCCTAAGGTTACCTTTTATGTTATACACAGTAATTAATACTCCGCAACTAGCAAAGTCAATAGCACCAGACAACATCTAACACCTACCAATAACAGTTTTTAATAAAGCTTGTTAATAAAAATCCAGTTTTTATGTAATTAGTCCACTCACACAGACTATTCCTGATCCTTGGGACTGACAAAAAAACTTATTTTGGAACTATTCAATTAACTGGAAGCTCACAAATACGAACTGAAGTTTCAGAAATTAGGATATCATACCTTTAAGTTTAAGGTTTAGTAATTTTTGCCTGTCGGGGCGAACACCGGTCTCTTTCTCAATTGCGTTTTTCAAATCCACCACATTATCACTTTCGCTTAACTCAATGTTATATTCTTTACCTGACCATTTCAGGATTATTTTTATATTTTCCATTATAGTCACAGGGTACTAAAATATATTTTTGGGAAAAGAGCAAAATAGTAAATAGTTGCAACACTTTTAAATTACACTTTTCACAAAACTTCCAAACAAAACATACAAAAAATCACAAAACATGCACGGACAAGTATGACATAGACATAGAACAATAAGTACGGAAGGCAACAGGTTAAATCAAGAATAGTCTCTATACACGGAGCAACCCTACTGGTTAGAAACGTGTTGCTATCTGCCATTTTACTTCATACCGGATGGCTCCGGTGGTTGGCCGCTGGCTGTATAATAGTTTGTTTCGTACTTTTCGTAGGGCGTCGAAGTTTTCTTGAACATTTTTTTTGCCCGAGTAAAGATCACATAGCCACGCAAGAGAAGTATTGAAATATAAGTACTCTAGAAAACTATCCGTATTTTTTCTCAAAATCGTTGCACAAAATGCAAATGAAGACTGGAAAACTGCGGTTTTGACTTATTAAATGCTTCGTCGTTACCCCCGGATAGACATACGTTTTGGCAGTTGACCTTGTCACCTAGATTGCGGCATTTCCAGCTCATTGGGCTATTTTGCTACCTCTGCCATTTTTTTAGAATGTTATAAAAAAGGAAGCTTTGAATAAAATATTGAGGATACCAATGGAGATATATAAAATTTGAGGCGTAGCAATGTTTGTCAAAAACTAAAAAAAGCTGTTATTTGCATTTTGCGTCACCTGGCGTCTATGCAGTGGTAACTATGATATCTAACAGCTGATTCATGACGTCACGGATCTTAAAACCAAACTGATAACCAGACTCGCTTGAACGGATCGGTAAATGTGGTAAATACCATTTTCATTTGGTTATTCGCTTGAATTTGATTTGTGTGTTTGTTTTAGTTTGACTCTCAAATCAAATCCAAGCGAATAACCAAAATTTTTGTGTTATGTGCCGCGGTTATGATATGGTTCAAGATGACACACGGGTTGATGACGTCAGTTACACGAATGGCTTGAACCCGTTGGTTTTAACCGCGGTTTTGTTGCAAGTTGTTTATTTTAGAAAAGCGCGTATATAATCTCTGATTATTTTTATTATCACTTAATAATCGGTGCTTTTTCGTCTACAACTGTATATGGAAAGTTTAAATAAGAAACCTTTCATGATATTCATGGGAGAAATGTTTTTTTCAGATTTTTTTTTAACGATTGTACCATGGCTTTGTAGCTATGATAACTTTCAATTCTCTAAATTATAAAGAAAGCATTTATTGATTCAGCAGAAGTGATGAAAAAAGAAATTAGTAAAACCGTATACAGGTGGATATCATCTAGTGAGTTTATATGGCCATATTTTAATATTCTTGTGGTATATGGCTACACAGGATACTTTGTTAAGCATAGGAACTACATTTAAAGTGTCCCCAACAACCGTAATGAGTATAACTAATAAGGTGCTCCACTTTATGGTAAAACTGAAGTCAGCCTGTATCAATTTTCTCAAAAATGAAGCTGAAATACAATAACAATATCCAATACCCGGTAAAATTCTAACTTGTCACATTTCAAATAATAACCAGAAATATAAAACTACTCTTGAGTTGGGTAAATACCACAATTTTGCGGTGATAACTATGACATATAACAGCTGATTCGTGACGTCACGGATCTTATAACCAAACTGATAACTACACTCGCTTGAACGGATTGGTAAATACCAACCCAAAATGGTAAATACCATTTCCATTTGGTTATCCGCTTGAATTTGATTTCAGTGTATGTTTTGTGATTTGACTTTTGACTGACGTTTACCTAGACGTGATTTTGACATTCATATCAATTTCCACTAGAAGGATTTATCTCTGATTTCCACGTAGGTCTTCTACACCGGGTATGAATTTCTTGCAAAATTAAATTTTCAAGAACATAAATATTACAGAAAATGAAAAGTATAATGAGATTGGCCTTGTTGATTTTCTTCTTTTTTCTGGTCTACATCTGCGTAAATGGACAACCACGAAGACAGGTAATATCATTAACAGGTTGACTGCCATGGCGGTCGTATACGACCGCCTGGTAGATTTGCCAATATGCCATGGAGGTCGTATACGACCGCTATGCACCCGATAATATGTTCGATTATTACCTGCCAGCGGTCGTAGTTAGAATGTCTTTAGATACGGTATACGACCGCTGTGGCTTACAAGGCTCGCATATAACTGCGAGTTTTGGGATTATGAAGAATTTATTGACAAAAACCGCAGAAAAAAGTGTAGTACACTACAAAAACATATAATATAACTACTTTGAATGCATATTATAACATTCCAAACACAAATGAGGCTGGCCTTCGCATGTACTACAATATGTTACAACCTTTTTTACGAAATTTTTGGTTATTTCTCCTCGAAGCTTTTTTGCATAGCAACCTTTACAATACTTCCTAACTTTGTCGAAATGCCCTTGTTTTTTAAGCAACTTATGATTTCTTCGGTAATGTTTGCATTGTTTCATTTTCATGATCGGTTTCTTCATAAGTCAAAAAGGATCTCACTATTGCTTCTCGAAACTCTGTAATTTTCATTTTTTTATCAGCAAGCTGATTGTATACTATATGAGAATTTACGAGCGCTGTCCCCAAAATAAATTGTATAGCAAGTTTACGGTACCATTTGAGAGATTTCCTCAAGGGAGAATTGTAGCTGGTCATCTGATCAGATTGATCAATCGATGATTTTCCGTCGTTATATTCAATTACTGCCTTTGGTTTTTGAACCATACCAGTGCGTCTCTGTACATTCACAGTGTCAGTAGTGTGCTTAGTAGTGAGAAGAAGAACGTCCCTCTTATCTCTCCACTTCAAGACGCATACACCTCTTTCGTTTTCTAGTCCAAATACTTCCCCTTTTCCTAATTTCTTTTGTACTACTTCTTTCGGATTGCCACGACGGTTAGCTCTCAGTGTACCTACATAATGTGTTTTATTGTCCAGTAAAATATTTGTTAGTTCGAGACTTGTATAATAGTTGTCAGCTATTATAGTTCGTCCTGAATTTAGTAGGTCCTTAGAAAGATTGATGACAATGTTAGTTGGAACAGAAGCGTTGCCGTCACTTTTTTCCTTTCCAGCATATATTCTCAGATTCCTCGTATACCCACTATCACTGCATAATTTAAAGAGTTTTACTCCATATTTATGGGTTTTTTGTGGAATATATTGCTTGAATAGCAATCGCCCTTGAAATGGGATAACAGAGTCATCTATACAAAATGTCCGACCAGGAGTGCAGACCTTTTGAAAGTTTTTGACGAGCCTTTCCACTAATGGTTTCACCTTGTGAAGACGATCACCTTCTGGGCAGCTTTCATTGTCGGAGAAGTGCCACATTCTAAGAAGCAGCTGAAATCTATTTCTCGACATGGTTTTTGGTATAATAACATTTTTATGTAGATCGTCATTGCTCCAGTACTTTTCCAATGAAGGCATCTTTACCAGACCCATGTAAGCCACTACACCAATAAATCTAATCATCTCTTTTCTATCAGTCGGAGCCCATCGGTGTAGTCTTGAATCTTTTTTTATGTCATTTGTGTCACACAATACTTGAGATGCATATAAGTTAGTTTGATTTACAATCTCGTCAATAATTTCATCGTCAACGAAAGTTCGGAAACAGTTATAACGCGATAAATTATTGATAAGTATTGCGGCATAATTTCCATGTAGACCACCCTCTGCAGTCTATTCAAATTCTTGGTGATTTCCAACTGGCTGCGTCCACATATGGTCTAGTAGATTTTGGTCAACTTTATTGTCAGATTCCTGCATACCTTCAGTACTTTGTGGTTGAGCTTGCGCTAAGGTTTCAACTTCAAAGAATTCTTCGAATTGCTCGTTCTGTTCACATGGTATGGTTGTGGCGTTAGCGGCTTCTATTTCTTTGTATGAAACATCAGTTGAAAGTGACTTTGAACAGCATGGTTGATCCAGAAACTTAATTTTTCCTGGGTTCAATTTCTTTGAGACAGTCTTACTGGGTTGCAATTTGCATTTAGAATTAGTTTTCTTTTGTACGGAACTTTCTGATTCTGAGACATCTGAACTAGATAATATTTCTTCATCACTAGATGGCAAAAACGTGGGGTCAAGATCAGAGTCAATTGAACAAAATGGATCAGATTCGTCACCTGAAAACAATAAACAAATCTATCTGAAAATATCAATTTTAGTATAAATAATAGTTATTACCTGACGTTTGGCCATCTTTTAAAGCTAGTTCAACAATTTTTCTACTTCGACTACTCATCGTTACACGTGCGCAACCAAAAGCGATCAAAACAAGACTGACATTTCTCAGCCTGACAAGTTACGACTCGAATAATACGACCGCCATCAAGACGACCGCTGGCAGCAATGATATAAATATGCCGCCTGTGCCCCGGCGGGCGTATACGACCGCTGATGTGTTTTTTTGAAAATTTTTACTATTTTGATGAATTTTTTACAAAAATTTATAATTTTTTTTCTAAAACGGCATTTTTATCATCTTTATGTACTTGGCGCCTGGGGTATTTTTTCTCGTCCATGTATGGCAGTCAACCTGTTAAACAAAATCGAGTACTGCTTTGATTTTTTTTTAAATGCTACTTTATGTTGAAAACAGGTATGTGTTATAACAGGTCCGTGTCTTAACTATGAAATGAACTACTGTGTATTTTATAATAGTAAATTTTCTATAAATAAGCCCAAAGTTAATTTATGAAGATACACAATTGTACTGAATATTTGGCCATTCTGGTGGTATTGCAGTATGCCCCATCGCAGCTATAGTTACCTAAAGATTCCCTGTGACATCAATTAGCCTCGGGCGAAACAACCAGGCAGTCCAAAAATAGGTAAAAAAAAAATCGTGGAATAATAGCCCACATTCACAATGTGTTGCTTGGATTGAATAGGGTGGTCTTGGTGGGGCTCCTGATAGGATACCCATCTTGTAGACTAACACAAGGGCCTCTTGAGTTACTGGATAGGTAATTTGCTTGTTATGTATAGTGTGTAAGAAAACTGCTAAGCTGGAGTGGTGTTTTTGAATTCAAGAACATTAGACATATCCACCATTTTTGACCTTGAAGGAGGCTTATGTGGAGCAATGTACTGCACAGAGTATGTAACAAGTTTTTTCATTGGACTCGCTGGAGTGAACATTTACAAAATGGGTGCATACTTCACAGCAGTGCTTGCGAAGTATTGGTAACTCAAGTGTGTTTTTGTACAAGTGCCGAAGTTGTGTCAGCAAATACACACACTCGCTATAACACATTCAGTTCTACTTCTGCCAAACTATTTGTTAACAATTTTCAGTATGGATTGCATCATGTAACATCTCAAGAGAAGAAATATTCGCACATAGTCCATTTAAATCCTTCCATCCTATTTGTTTCTTTTCAAGGGTACTGCAGATTATGATATGCGGTAGCACAAGGTAAATAATTTTGCCTGTCCATCTGTTATTATGACAGGTAGTTTATTGTCAAGAGGACTATGGCTGTGGACAAAATATACTGTACCTTGTGTTTACACAAGCTACATGCAGCTTGCCACTGGACCCATAGACTGAATGCAACTGGGTATAGACACTACTCCTCTGACCAAAGCACAAATGTGCTTGCTGAGTTTTGTTGGTGGATCCAATTTTTCTATTTCTGCTCCTGTCCCTTTATTGCCTTCGATTGACCCTTGTTTTTCATCGAATTTTCCGCAAAACTACTTGTCTTTCTTTATACACAATAAGAGATACAAAGTTGCTTAAATGGGGCGTATTTAGGTAGTTAACAAAATGTCGCTAAGGAAGTTTCAAAATCCAAACTTCTTCCGGAGAGAAACGGAAAATACCGATTTTTCCCAAAATCGTTTTAATTTTTCCATGACTTTATTTGTAGTGGGGTTCCAAAAGAAATAGCTACTTTTTCTCCTTCACAAGATGGCATAATTAAAATTTCAATATGACATTTCATCTCTTGTCCTCCAGCATGAACTTTATATTTTCTTATTCTACTTCTGATTCCATAACAGTATAATATGTAATACATTGACATTTCCAAACCTTAGTTAAATAAAAAAAATCCTAGGTAGGCCTTGAACTTATCAGATAATCATTTGTTTTGTACACTACATTTATCACAAAATCATTTTTTTCCTGACTTCTCTTGAGATGGGAATTCAAAGTGAATTACATGTTGTCGTTGTCACTTTTTGTCCTCTATAAGATGGCATAGTCAAATTTTTAATTGAAAGTTTCTTCTTTTGACATACATCACCAACTTTGTTCTTTCATATGGATGCAAAATTAGAATTTGGTACATTTAAATGGAGTTTTCAGTCATAAATTCAGTGTGCCATTAATTTGTTGTTGGAATGAAAATTATATGGAAATAAAAAAATATGGTGAAACACAGACATCAAATGAAAAATTTTATTGATGGTAATAACAGTATCATAAATAAGCAGATGTTAATCATAGTTATACTGTTATTTTGTAAGCAAGTCCTGACTTTTCTCTGTACATTCATCAATGCTTGGTTTATATCTCTTCTTGTCAGCTTGTTTAACTCTGTTACTATGTTCAAATTCAGATCGGCAGGGTTATTACGTAAAAAACCTATATAATGTAAAAAAACCAATACATTCTCAACTTGTTGACTGTCTAGCTGGTAGCGTGCAAATAGTTCATTCCGCGCCTGCTACAAGTGAGCATCAAGTGAATGACAGCTAGTTTCTAGTTGACATAGAGGAACCTTCATAATGTCATAAAAAACCTACAGAATGTCACTTTTCACCCGGTATATGAGCCGTTCGAATAAAAAAGAATTCGTTAACAACTCACACATAGTTTGTATATATATATATATATATATCTACCCAAAAGGTAGTCTCTTTTTATATTATTCTAATATTTTCCTTGTGGGTCGACTACATGTTTTTGAGGTAGACCACCTCAATATTCTCATTCCTCTGCCTCTGCCAACAAAAATTGTCAGCCGACGTCGAAACACCCATACCCATTATGCTAAACTAACTTACGAAAATTCATTTGGTTTTATTTTGGTCAAATGCTTCTTATAAAATTTTCTTCAAAACATACATCTATATCAAACCATGAAGTATTAGGCCTATTGATTTGTGGGGGCTCAGTTGCATACCTGAGACACCGAGGGACTTCCCAGAACTGTCTAATGCATGGTTTCTTAACCTTTTTTTGTTGAGGCTCCCCAGACTATAAATTATATTTTCATGCTCCCCTTTACTTTCTCAATAAATACAAAAACGCACATCATATAGGTACAAAGACTTTTATTTTAATTCTAATAAAGCAACTTTAAAAGTTTATATAAACTAATAAATGTTTTTTATGTCGGTGGATTTATCACAACTAATGGCAAAAAATTGCCATAATTTTACTTTGTTAATTATTTGTGACTTTATGCCTGCTGCAATGTCATCGCTTCTACGCTTGAATGTGTTATTCGAAAGAGAAATAGACCTCATTTTTGCTCTGCATCTTTTCCTAAAATTATCTGCGTGGCTTTTAGGACACATGGTTTTATTAATTCTTCACCGATAGTATGAGGTTTCTTTTGCTTTGCTATCATAAAAGCTATTTCAAATGAAGCTTTGAGATGCTGCGATACACCTGTGTGATAACCTCCCGATTTATCCAGTCTCATCCGCTTGAGTGATTCTCCTTTAGAAGAAAAAAAACCCCTTTCGTCTTCAAAACCAGAGTACGATATTTTTGCTTCAAATGCCTTTCAAGCCGATTGGGCCTCATGCTATCATTACTTAAAACTTTCATAAATATCACACACTGAGGCTATTGTAACTCGTCTTTTTCTATGAAGGTAAATCCGAACTTAACGTAATATTCGGAAAACTTTCTTTTTTTCGCTGCATTTTGCACCTATAACAATAAATGAAATAACTAATAAATAAATAAGTAAAATACCTACATGGAATTACTAATTATATGCCTATTATTTTATCTTAATAACGTAATGTATTCAACAGTAAATTGGCCACCAGGAGATTTAGGCAGGTTGATGTTATAATAGTAATTTTAAATACATTTGGATCAATATTAGGTAGTTCGTCGTTTCAAAATTATTTCGCCATGTTGGTTTGATTGTGATATGTTAAAAAAGTCCAAATGGTCGATCTATGATCTATGATATCCACAATTTAGTAAATTAAATGAAAATGGTAACTGAAGTTTGTAAATACGCAAACATACCTTTTAACAGTGAGACAATAATTTGACACACTCAAACAGATTTCTCAACAAAACATGTACATCAAAACGTCAAATGTTTCGCAAATTTGTGGGAATGAATGTAACAGATGCTCATCCGCGTCTGGTTTCTTATTTTTTGCCGGTGGAGTACTTAGTCAATATAATTTAAAGAACTTCTTTCTATTATTTTTGTATGTTTTTCCTTCCTGCTTTCAGTCCTTTTCGCTCGCCGAGAGGGTGCAGCAGCTGACGGACATGGCCAGCAAGAAATCGGTGCTGAGATTCAATGGCAACAAATTCAGAGATTACTTGAAGGCCAGCCCTCGAAACTACTCTGTCATTATCATGTTCACTGCCATGGCAGCACAACGGCAATGTCAAGTATGTCGGCATGCTAGTGATGAGTTTACTATTGTCGCAAATTCGTATAGGTATTCTCAGTCGTACTCGAACAAATTGTTCTTTGGAGTAGTTGACTTTGATGAGGGGTCTGATGTTTTCCAGATGGTGAGTAGCATATCATAGTCATAATTCATTGATTATTTTCAAAACATATAATGCAGGCGCTGAGGTAATAAATGAATGATAATGAAGAATGAGGGTACCACTACAGTATATGTCAGTAAAATCACTGAAGATTTTGTAAAATCTGTATCTATCTATCTATTTGTAAGATGAGTACCAATACAACAGATGCTGTCAGACAGTGACAGACACCAGCACAGGGCCGGATTGTGTTTTAAGCACGGTTAGCTGCGTTGGCCTGGCATTGTGCAGTATTCAAGTGCTTAATTACATTATGTGTCAAATATGTTCGGTATGTGGATGACGTGTTTTGAGTCAAAACAAGGGTTTTAAAATAACTTCGGCGAAAAAGCTATTGCTAAGCCTATAGTTGGAAGTGACTGCTCAGATACTAACACACGTTTGACACAATGCTATTGCTATGCCAATGATAGAACACCTTAAATGCTTTTACAAATAGTAGCATAGGAACATGTCAAAAAGGGAAAATTTGAGAATGTCAGTAAATCCGATTTTTCGGATGCTTTTGGAGTTGCTGATTATTTTTTACAAAACTTTATGGGAGGTCAACACCTAAAAAATGCGAACATTTGTTATTTGATGCTTTTCTACTTTCTGGTTATTTCAGGCTGTAGTAGGAATACACAACTGACAAAATATGCTCAAAATATGGTATTTATATTTTCTTCCGAATTTTAATTTATAATATTACATTTTCAATATAAGATCGCATTTCTGACATTTTAATGTTCATGTATTGTAATTGTATATTTTTGTATTTTTAGTTAAGATTGAACACTGCCCCCGTTTTTATGCATTTCCCACCAAAGGGTAAACCCAAAGCTGCTGACACTATGGATATTCAAAGAGTAGGTTTTGCTGCTGAAACATTAGCCAAATGGATTGCTGAAAGGACTGATATCCAGGTAGATAATTACAGTAATTCATTTTTAATTGCTTCAGTTTTTTCACAAAAAAAGAGATATGGTTGGAGTAGGCCTGTTGAAAAAAAATAATTATTGCAATTCAATAGGCTTGGCTGGTGAGAAATGGACGAAATGCTATTTCTGAGTTCAAATTGTGCATCATTTATGACTTTTATGACGTCATTATTATATAATTGGTGTTGCAATACGTTAAGCTAGCATGTTTAGACCATAGATAGCCAAGCTCTTAGATAGCCATACATCACCATTGTGGCGGTGGCGACAATGCCCCAAATTAAAGGCCTCAAGTGGCCTAGAAAAGAACCATAAGTAAAGAAGGGGGGTGAACCACTAAAATGGAGTTTACGTTGATTCTGTGGTGTGGACGTCAGCAGGGGGCACTGGTTTCTTTTGAAATTGCTTAACAGCCACTTGCACGGTAATTAGCGTTTATAAAACAGCGTTAGCAAAAGCGGGTGATTCTAATGGCGGTTGTAGCGATTCGACTGCTGGTCTTGCTCTCCTTGCTGTTAGAGTGCGCTCTTCCCCTTTTTTAAAAAAAAAAACCATAGGGGAGCCCAATTTAGTGGCAAGAAAAACAACGGCGGAGCAAACAATGGAAATTAAGCTAAAATTGGCATTGCGGTTGCAACACAATTCTGCGTGTAAATGCTGTTCTGTGCTTGTTCACACTGTGTGCTTTGCGTGGCTATGCACCATATAAGCCTTTGATTGCCTACAGTGTAAACATCAATCTAATGTTTTCCAGATTCGTGTGTTCAGACCTCCAAACTATTCCGGAACGTTTGGTTTGGTCGTTCTGTTCGGCATCGTCGCGGTATTCCTGTATGTACGCAGGAACAATCTGGAGTTTCTCTACAACAAGACTATGTGGGGCATGGGTGCGTTATTCTTTTGCCTCGCGATGACCTCGGGGCAGATGTGGAACCACATCCGGGGACCTCCCTTCCTACATAAGAGCAATACAGGACAAATCGCTTACATCCATGGATCATCACAAGGACAGTTTGTGTTCGAGACGTATATCGTTATGTTCCTGAGTATCCTTTATTTTATAATTGTCAGAAATTATTGATATTGTACAGTGAGTGCGTGGAGTGCTAATGTCACACTTTGATATGGAGGAAAATGCAACCGACGCATTGGCAAAAGTAAGCATGGTTGTGTGAGATGCCAAAAGAGTATAGAATCAGTAAACCTACTATTCAAATACAAGCACTCTCACCTATGCGACGGCAACGTGATCAGTTACAGAATGCTTGCATTGGCCCATCAGTTTATTAAAGATGTCATGTGTGGATACTATCGTGACACTTCGTATCATATCCGCAAAAAATCACTGAAAATACAGACACAGAGTCGCGTTTTTGTATTTTGAGTGATTCAGTTGGAAACTATTCTAATAAAGCTACAGTTGATAACAGTTAAAATAAGTTAGTACAGTATATTCAGATAAGAGATAGACCGGATGTAAACAAAAGGTTCGGGTGATTTTCACGCTAACGCCGCCGTCTCGACGTAAAACAGGAGCCCTCATTGGTCAATTCGCAATTAAATGCCTATGCCGAGCGGCAGAGCAGTCGTATCAAGGCAGAGTCACATTCAGGTTCAGACGTGTTACGTATGTCGTGTGCATCATTGCAATTTGATATTTCTTTGGACGTTTTCGTTTGTTATCTTATTAAGTTGTTGAGTTTGTCGTTGTTATTGTTATACCTTGTTATTGATTGTTATTGTTATCAACTGCTTGCGCAAAATGCCCAGTAGTACAGATACTGCCGATGAAGTTGTAAACTCCTGTAGTCCACCTAGGAAACGCTCTAAAAAAAGACACCTGAGTGCAGAAATGAAAGAGGTCATTTTGAATATATAACGTATAAGATCGAGCGCGAGGAGAACGAGGCATCAACCATCAAAGAAATTGTTGTGAAGGTTTCTCACAAAGTTGGGGTGTGTCGCGCATCAGTGTTTAATGTGTTAAGACAATACAAAAAAAATCACACCTTTTCTGAGCCAATGACCAGTAAACATCGCAAAAGTATTGTTAAATCATTGGATGAAGCTGATAAGCATGCGATTAGGAGGAAAGTGCATGAATTCTTCTTTAGGAATGAAATACCTACTATAGATAAAGTACTGCAGGAGGTAAATGGAGATACAACGTTGCCAAATTTCAAACGATCTACTTTCCATGCGTTACTGAAGCATTTAAATTTCAAATGGAAAAAACGGGGTCGTAATAGTTTACTACTGGATAGAGAAGAAATTGTGCTATGGAGGAGGGATTATTTAACAAAAATTGGGAAATATAGAAATCAAAACAGGAAGATTTATTACCTTGATGAAACGTGGGTAAACGCAGGACACACTACAAGTAAAGTATGGGTTGATGATTCTGTAACTTCATCCAGGAGGGCCTTTCTAGATGGACTGTCCACCGGATTAAAAAATCCAGCAGGTAAATACGAGTAATAGACAACAATCGGATGTTTTTCAAACCTTGGGAACAAGGTTCTAAACATTAATTCCAGGGGGCAGATAAAACATATTACAAGTAACAAAACTTTTATAACTTTCGATAAAATGCGTGGATGTTTTATTGTCATTTTCATTTGTTAGAACTTTTTTAAGCCATGTTTTTATGTGTTTTCGATATTTCAATAATATTTTAATATAATCTTAAAATATGTCGAATATTATAAACTTAAAAAAAGTTACTAAGTTTTATATTGTGTACCGTCCCTAATATTTCTAATCATTTTAATTCATACTTTAAGCTTTATAAAGTTATAATTTGTTAATATTAATATTTGCGCGTATTTCAGGTTCCTGATCATTCATTTTTTAAAGGTTTATAACTTTAAATTAAATTGTGAAGCGCTGAGTAATCATACGACGTTCAATATTCTTTCTTTCAATATGACTAAATAATCCCAATTATAGCAATCTGATACTCATGTCTCAATGTTTTTTCGCTGAATGTGATGAAAACATTTGAAAAAGGTTCGCTTATTGAAATAAATCTACACCAGTTAGTACTTCGATTTCCAGGTAAAGGGAAAAGGCTCATTATCTGCCATATTGGCAGTGAGGATGGATTTGTTGTTGACGGTCTGTGGTGCTTTGAGTCTAAGAAAACTGGAGATTACCACGAGGAAATGAATGGCGAATCGTTTGAACAGTGGTTTTCAAAAATTTTACCGAACTTAGAGGAAAACGCAGTAATTGTGTTGGATAATGCGCCTTATCATTGTAGTGATTTCCTAAAATTCTTCTTCTTCAGTATAATTGACTCTTTATTGTACTGAAGAAGGTCACTCTTCGGACTAAAACATACAATAAAGAAGAATTTTAACCACATGTGGTTTGATTGGCCAGATAAACATGGAGGATTATCGACAAGAAAACCACAGGATAAATTTCAGATGTTAAGTTGATAGTGCACCCAAGAAATATGTTTGCAAAAAGGTGTTGGTTTTCGCAGATCCTTCGTTGTTCATATACGAGGGTGGATCAAATATATACCGGTAGTAGTAATAGTATTACGAGAAGTGAAAATGCTGTTTCACTTGTCACATCCATCGGTACAGAACACATAAATTGTATCAGCAATGAGTTAACATCAGGTCCCATCATCTGATGCGCAGTGTGTTAAAATAGTTTTGGACTGAGGAAGGCGTTAAACCCAGCGAAATTTTGACTTGATTGAAAGTTCAGTATTGGGATGATATCCTGTCCAAAACTCAAGTATTTGTTAAGGCCAAAAAGCTTAAGAGTAAAGGAGAAAGTGTGTAAAATGTGAGTCAAACAACTTGCAAGGTCATGTGTCATCTGGTGACAACAATGGTGCAGCTCATGATTGAAAGTGACAGGCGGCTTTCTATTCATCATGGCTGCCGTACGATTAATCCTACCAACTACTACCAACTGTTTGGGAGGCATCAGAAGCCGCATGTAGAAGCAAAATAGTTGACCGTCCTTCCGACAATGCCACGGCACATACAACTGATTTGTTTGCTCCCAGTTTTGTGCAGTTGGTTGGTGACTCAACCTCATACTTCTTACGAGGACGTAATTTACTTACTTTGGATGGTTGTCTATACGATTGGTCTTTAATTAAGAGATTTTATGAAACAAAATCGTATATTTTCATTCCGCATATTTACTAGTAAGTTCTGATCGTTGGGACCTTCCTTTTCAAGAACTAGTACTCATGGTTTACTTTATAAGAAATGTCAAGTGCCACCCTGACACACTGTTTGAAGTTGTAGTCATCCGATTCCAAAAACACTTGTGTTGGCAACATTCGAGGTTCTCTAGGTTTTCTACTAGGCACACTTGGCATTCTTGCTATGGGCCCGTGATCCTAAATGTTTCTATCAGAGAAACATATTGACGTGACGTGGAATGTAAACGTACAGGAAAACGATCTGAATGCAGTCGGGAAGCCTCATCTGCATTTCGAAGACACTTAAACCATAAACATAGTATCGACAAATTTGATATTATCTTTCGTTTTTTTCTAACGGATTTGTGAACAACAACTCTACCTTCAAATACGACGCTTAGGTTAAATGCTGACGCGCTTAGCTTCGGATTTCGAGCAGCAGGTTTTTTGTTATCTTTAGAATGATAGATAACCCGACTTACTTTTTTTTTTAATATGTCATCTGCATTTCCATCCGCATTTAAGTGCGTACACTGTATAGAGTCCTACGCTGCCTGTTGTTTTCCAACAAAATTTCACATGTTTTCCTTAGCTGCATAATAGATTTTGCCGTGGTGTTCGGGATGATTTTGCTGACAGACGCAGCAAGAAACAAAGGTGACCATAAGAAGAGGAAGATTATGGCCGTTGTGGGGCTTATACTGCTTTCAGTATTCTTTTCATTATTGCTGTCTGTGTTCAGAACAAAGACACATGGCTATCCCTACAGGTGAGTTGCTTTTGCTAATTCTTAATAACCACTATAGTGACTATATAATTATACATTAGATGCACAGTTTAAAATGTTTAAAATGATTATCCCTTATTGAAACTTTTTTCAATAAAAAGTACATTTGATAATGTGTAATACTTGAGACTCTATTATCTAAATTATTTTTCAGCTTCCTGTTCAAGTGAAGTCGTGAACAGTAGGGTAAGATAATTCATTACGTGATTTATGCCATTGTTTCTTTTTGTTTAATATAAATAAACTTTTATAAAAATTGTGTTTTCGTTTCACTATAGTTGGTTTGCTTCCGAATAACTTCCTAACGCATAAAAATTACCTAAACCCTAAACAATCACAATATATAAGAAATATTTCCCGAAAATCAAGCTATCTTCTATCCGCAAGGTCTAAAGGAATTATAATGGGGGAAGGGGCTGAAAGCGTTGGAAGATCTAAGGGCCAGCTGAGAAAACATAGTGATGTGACATCTAAGTAACCTGATACGAACAAACTGACCCAAGATACGTGTACAGGTGTAATAGATTTGATTTCTCGGCATTTTTTCAACTTGACCCTGAAATGACCTCGATATGCCCTTCGAATGACCTGATAGGGACAAACTGACCTCGGATTCGGACGCAGCGATCCTAAAAACCTATAAGTATGACAGTTAAAGTACCACATAATCTTACAATATACTGAATGGCTTTTTAGATATTTCGCCTAAAAAACTGACCATGGCTAGCGTCACGGGGAAGTTGAATTTTGTGCCATTTGTGGTTAAATCGTTTAGTTATTTTATATACACGAAAAAAAAAGACTTAGATCTTCCTTTTTTTCTCAAAGTTGTATAGGCCTCCTTTGTAATAAGAATAAACCAATTAGTCTAATCATAGACGAAAATACCACTGGTTTGCGAAATAATTGTAAAGTCTGGCTTTCTTGATGCAAGTTGTTCAAGGGGCTATTTAAAACATGGACGCATAAAATGGGTACACCAATTTTTGTCGGAATACTTTATTCGACAACAAAGAATGAGAAAACGTGTTTTTGGGATTCAATCGAAAGTGTCGGCAGGAACGAAGAAACTCTTCAAACAAGATTTTTAGGTATTTATGAGACCTACAGAATGAGATTACACGTAAAAAGATCCCAATAGTAAAAAAGTTATGGCCGAAAACCAAGGCAAAATGCATATTTTGGCACTTGTTGCTAATGCGACGATAATTTCACGCAGCTACTTGACATTCTTCAAATTCGAAGGCTCATTACTTCTAAATAACCACAATAACAAAACACAACTGTTTTCCGGCCATCACTACTAGTTTATTGAGCAATGCATATGGTTCGTTCAAAGGGCTTTTTATAGCAAAATACACGACATGAATCACGAGCCATTCCGGAATATAATTATTATTTTTATGCGCAAAACGGTTCTTTTTTTCTCCTAAACAAATTCAAATACATGTTTCCTATTAACTATTGACTAGGTCAAACCGTCAAAAACGGGTGGGAAAAAGACAGGTTAGATGGAAAGGTAACCTATACCCTATTTCACGAGTATCCATCACGGCAGAATGACAGCTGATTATCTATTAATATCTCCAAATTCCCCATATCGGCACAGGACACATAATTAAAAAAACAAACGCTGCAAACAGGTTTTATTAGATTTACACCCGATTCATTATTGTCAACGTCACAGATTAACACAAACATGTCACTTGCTGATCAGCTGTTTTCCTCGGTATGATGGATACTCGTGAAATAGGATGTACATTGGAATGGGAGAATAAAACAATTCTGATTATACATTATAGTTTTATTAGTTACGAATAAATGTTCTCACTTTTTATCTGTAGTATGACATGGCAAGCCTCACGACCTTAAAGTTACAGAAAAAATAACCTATTTGTTTCTGAGAGTATTCTTCACAAATACATACTTTTGATTTATTTGGTAAAAGCGGAGCTTCTCATTCACTTATTCGAATCTAAACTTTGAAAAGTTTATTGGCCATGACAAAAAATCACCGTCTTAAAATATCTATCTCTCTATATCTATCACGCCCATAATATAACGTTTCACATATCGGTACAGGACATAAGTCTGACGGATTCGTAAACTTCAGGTCGTCAGAGTCGTATTTTGTTTTGTTTTTTTGTACGCTACAGATTCATTTTGCAGCTAGCTAACGGCTCTTTTATTTAGAAAAGTTCATTTGCATACAAAAAACAACATAACGCGACAAACAAGTATTACTAGATTTATACCCGATTCATTATTGCCAACGTCGCACACTAACATAAAAATGTCACTTGCTGATCAGCTGTTCACCTTGAAAGCTTGATGGATACTCGTGAAATAGGGTATACTCGGATCTTCGTACTAACCCCAAAATTTGATTGGAACTGAAATGGCCACTGTTAAGCCTTGATAAGATAAATCGCAATAAATCGACCAAAAAACGGTATACAAGAATAAACTAGCTAATCGTATATTAACTCTCTATAGTTGTTACTGTGACTATTAGATATATGTAGATACATAATTTCCAAGTGCTGAGGAAAACTGTTTGTAAAAAAATGTATACACGTGACTGCGTTTGATTACTTGAATAACTTCTAATATACTTCTGTTCTGAAAACATATTTTAATCATTAATAGCTCGTGTTGATGACATTATTTTCATACAAGCTACATGTTATCGAGGACGCAGCCACCATGCAAGAATTTAGGCCAGAAATAAAGCAAGTTCTCTCTAGTATGTCAAGCTTTTAAAAAGGTTTATTTTCTTCATCAGGACGTAAACATTTAAGCTCAATTTTGGGATAAGCAATCAAAAAAGAGGTAATAATTCACAGGTCACAAAACAAAAATGTTGATCAATTTGAGCGAAAACTTTAAAAAACTATTTGGTGGAATAATTTCAAAAAGTAAAATTACAGATGCTAATAAACAGCAAGCCGACATAAGCCACTCACGAAGTGTTCCAAATAGATCAACATTTTACTTACTGACATGTCCGTTATTGACGTTGTATGTCAATTAATGGTTTTCCTCCATTGTTTGGATTACTTGTCCCACAAGCGGACTTCAGTGCTTTTGCCGTGATGAAGAAAATAAACATTTTCAAACTCTTGAAACAAAGAGAGAGCTTTTCCTGCCTGAATTCTTGCGCGGTGGCTGCATCATCAAGAACGTGTACTTTGTATCCAAGCCAAGACTATCCACAAAAAATATATAATATGCAAATTGCCTGTACCTGCAAATAACATCTTTTGTGGAAGCAACTTTTGTAATTCAAAATATCTTAATGGAAAAGCTGGTGGTAATTAGGGCTTCTTCAACTTGATTTTGCTTTTGAGTTTCGGTTTTGTTTCTGTCCCTTCAAAAGCATATCAAGTGGGTATATGAAATGTAGGCCGCATATTTTTTCTCGGCCCCATAATATTCATCATACAATCTACTCGAATAACTCTAGAAGTAATCATTCTATTTTTATTTTCGCTAAAGATAATTTGTTTTCTATAAAATTCATGCCGTCTTCACTGTGAAAATGAAATTCAGCTAATGTTCATCAGCCTGCGTGGTAGTCTTTGATCATGTACATTATACATACATACCGTGCGAATCATTTACGGTTGAGGTCGACCTGGATTCAATGTGTACGAGAGAGAGAAGCGTGCAACGCGTATGTTAGAAAGTTCTAAGCTTAACTCATTCAACAAGTTGATATGCGAGATTTACGACCTACTTAGAAGCAATTTCTTTGACCACTTCGCACGATTTAACTCGTTCAAGCAAATCGTCCTAGCTGTCATCTGGTTTCGATGGATTGGCGAGTTCTATCAAAGAGCCGTTTATTTCGACTGGTGGGAGTCCAGATCACCGAAGACTTGATCTGTTACGATCAGATCTCGTCAAAGATAAGTGATTTTGTGTTCCAGGATTATAAAACACTAATAAGGAGCTTCAGAATAAGGTATCAAATGACCCAATTGCACTTAAAAATTGTTACAAGATTGAACCAGCCGCCATCTTCAAATTTGTTACGTTAATATACAGTATATAAGTACCACGACAAACTTAAGGAGAAGGTAGGCTTTGGACTGACCTCCAAAATAACAAAAATGTACCTATATAAAAGTGTCACCGTTTTTGAGATATTGAATTTCTTTT